TATATACACTAATAAGGTCACCCCTCAATCTCCTCTTCTCCAAACTATAGAGACCCAGCTCCCTCAGTCTTTCCTCATAAGGGAGATGCTCCACTCCCTTAATCATCTTAGTTGCCCTGCGCTGGACTCTCTCCAGCAGGTCCCTGTCCTTCTTAAACTGAGGGGCCCAGAACTGGACACAATATTCCAGATGAGGTCTCACCAGGGCAGAGTAGAGGGGAAGGAGGACCTCTCTCGACCTACTAACCACCCCCCTTCTAATACACCCCAGGATGCCATTGGCCTTCTTGGCCACAAGGGCACAGTGTCGGCTCATGGTCACCCTGTCGTCCACCAGGACCCCCAGGTCCCTCTCCCCTACACTGCTCTCTAACAGGTCGTTCCCCAGCCTATACTGGAACCTGGGGTTGTTCCTGCCCAGATGCAGGACTCTACACTTTCCCTTGTTATATTTCATCAAGTTATTCCCCGCCCAGCTCTCCAGCCTGTCCAGGTCCCTCTGGATGGCAGCACAGCCTTCTGGCGTGTCGGCCACCCCTCCCAGCTTAGTGTCATCAGCAAACTTGCTGATAGTACACTCAATTCCCTCATCTAAATCGTTGATGAATATATTAAATAATACTGGTCCCAGTACCGACCCTTGAGGCACTCCAGTAGATACAGGCCTCCAACTAGACTCCGCCCCATAGACTACAACTCTCTGGCTTCTCTCCTTCAGCCAGTTCACAGTCCACCTCACTACCCGATCATCCAGACCACACTTCCTCAATTTAGCCGCAAGGATGCTGTGGGAGACCGTGTCAAACGCTTTGCTGAACTCAAGGTAGGCCACATCCACCGCGCTGCCATCATCCATCCACCGTGTTATTTCCTCATAAAAGGCTACAAGATTGGTCAAGCACGACTTCCCCTTGGTGAAGCCATGTTGACTGCCCCTCATAACCCTCTTATCCTTGATATGCCTTAAGATGGCACCAAGGATAAGGTGTTCCATCACTTTCCCAGGAACGGAGGTGAGGCTAACCGGTCTATAGTTACCCGGGTCCTCCTTCTTGCCCTTTTTGAAGACAGGAGTAACATTTGCTTTCCTCCAGTCCTCAGGCACCTCTCCCGTTTCCCAAGACTTGGTAAAGATGATGGAGAGCGGTCTAGCAATGACCTCAGCCAGGTCCCTCAGCACCCGCGGGTGCATCCCATCTGGACCCATGGATTTATGGATATCCAGATTGCTCAACTGGTCTTTAACCGATTCCTCATCAACTAAGGCAGACCGCTCCGTTGACCTATCTTCATCCGGGGTCTCAGCGGTACAGGGCTCTTCAGGACTGCCTCCAGCAGAGTAGACAGAGACAAAGAAGGCATTCAGTAACTCTGCCATCTCTGTATCTTCTGTCACCAGGGCACCCGTCCCGTTCATCAGCGGGCCTACATTGCCTCTGGTGTTAGTTTTACCTGCCATGTATTTGAAAAAGCTCTTTCTGCTGTCCTTGACCCCTCTCGCCAGCTTTAATTCCAAGGAGGCCTTAGCCATCCTAGCAGCTTTCCTACATCCTCTAGCAGCAGCCTTATATTCTTCCCAAGTGGCCAGCCCTTCTTTCCATGACCTGTAAACTCTCCTCTTCCACTTGAGCATACCGAGCAATTCCCTATTTAACCACGCAGGTCTCCTGACCCTCTTCCTCGACTTCCTACGTGTCGGGATGCTCCGATCTTGAGCTCGGAAAAAGCAGTCCTTGAACGTCAACCAACTATCTTGGGCCCCTTTACCTTCAAGCAGCCTAGCCCACTGGATTTCCCCTAGCAATTGCTTGAAGAGGCCAAAGTTTGCCCTGCTAAAGTCCAGGGTTGCGATTCTACTTGCTATTCTACTGACCCTACCACACAAGATCCTGAATTCTACCATCTCGTGGTCGCTGCAACCAAGGCAGCCCTCAACCTTCACTCCTTCAACCAGACCCTCCTTGTTAGTGAGGATGAGATCCAGCAGCACACCTCTCCTGGTTGGCTCATCCACCATTTGCATGAGGAAGTTATCATCCATACACTGGAGGAACCTCCTGGCCTGCGGCTGGGTTGCCGAGTAGTCCTTCCAGCAAACATCAGGGAAGTTAAAATCCCCCACTATGACCACAGCCTGTGACTGTGAGGCCGCTCTCAGCTGTCTATAGAAGGCCTTGTCAACTTCCTCACCCTGATCCGGTGGCCTGTAACAGACCCCCACAGCAGTATCACCCCTGCCAGCCTGCCCCTTAATTCTCACCCACAGACTCTCGACTCGCTCATCATCTGTCCCCGGACAGAACTCAGTGCATTGTAGCTGCTCTCGCACATAAAGAGCAACCCCACCACCCCGCCTGGCTGGCCTGTCTTTCCTGAAAAGGACATAGCCCTCCATGACTATATTCCAGTCATGTGAGCTGTCCCACCACGTCTCTGTAATTGCCACCAGATCATAATCTCCTGACTTAACACAGGTTTCTAGCTCCTCCTGCTTATTTCCCATGCTGCGCGCATTGGCGTACAGACATTTCAGGGAGCGAGCCGAGCACACCGATTTCACCCTAGGATTACAGGAGGCCTCCCAGTCTTCATCAATTCCGGAGCGCTGTCCCACTGAGGCAAGCCGAGCTACAACCCCATCCCCCTTCAAATCTAGTTTAAAGCTCTCCAAATGAGCCCTGCTAATTCGCTCCAAGATGTGCTATTCTCAGTACCAAGTTCTCTGTGCTCCAAGATGTGCTATTCTCAGTACCCTGCTCTGGTTCACAGTTTTTACATTCTTTACCCCTTCACTTCTCAGTCTTTCTTTTTTTTCCCCACCATGATCTGTTCCCTCAAGTAATTTTTTTGCCCCATGTTCCTCAGGCTTTCTTTTGCGCAGCTGTTTGGGCTTTCCCCTTGTAACAAGATGGAGTGGAAAAGAGGCTGTGAGAATAACATCTTTCATAATACCACTCGAAGTTTGTGTGGGAATTTATTTTTTTTTAGCACTCTGAAAAACTTATCAGCTCTATTTAAGCAGCTGTTGCCACTACAATAGCAACTTACACCAAAAGCAAAGACTGAACAAAATGTCACAGTACAAATACATGTAGTCTACGCAAAAGAATGTGACAGAGAGCACACATATCCAACATTCAGTACAGACTGGAAAAGCTTGGCTCTAGACCTATAAGGTTCTAGTGGTCAAAACAGAAATGCAAGAAAAAAAAAAAAGAATCTTTATTATTAGGTGCTTATTTAATCATAAAATCACCTAAACAGTTTTTAGTAACACATAAAGTCACAGAATGGTTTGGGTTGGAAGAAACCTCAAAGGTCATATAGTTTCAACTCCCCTAGATCCAGTTGCTCAAAGTCTCACCCAGCCTGGCCTTGGACACTGCCAGGGATGGGGCAGCCACAACTTCCCTGGGCAATCAGTTCCAGCACCTCACCACCCTCATTGTGAAGAATTTCTTCCTAATGTCCAGTCTAAGTCTACTCTCTTTCAACCTGAAGCTATTCCCCTTGTCCTATCCCTACACTCCCTCATGAAGAGTCCCTCTCCAGATTTCCTGTAGGCTGCCTTTAGGTACAAAAGGCTGCTATAAGGAGACCCCAGAGCCTTCTCTTCTCCAGGCTGAACAAGTCCAGCTCTCTCAGCCTATCTTCATTGCAGAGGTGATCCTGATCCAGTCTTCTGGGCATCTTAGCGGCTTCCTCTGAACTGGCTCAAGCAGGTCCACATCCCTCCTGTGCTAGGGGCCCCAGAGCTGAATGCAGTACTGCAGGTGGGGTCTCACGAGAGTGGACTAGAGCAGGAGAATCACCAGACTTATTATATATCTTGCCAGTTTTTCAGATGTGCAGTTACAAAAATTGAACTGCATTATTGTTTTTTCTTATTGGTATTGAACACTGATAAGGAAAACTAATGGTAAAAAAAATAGCAGATATAATACTATTATTGTTTGTATTAGCAAAGGGATCAATACTGGTTGATGGGGTACAGACAAAACTCAGATTTGGATGGCTAGATACAGCAATTAGATAATTACATTTGTACATTTTTATTAGGAACACTGAAAATGAACCTGGATTATTAACACATAAGTATGACTTTGACTTTAGGGTTGAATAATTTCTTAACGTTATGGTTTTGTCCTAATAATTAATTATTTTCTGAATTTTGAACCAATATCAAAACTGAATTTGGATAACCCTTGAAACTCATTAATCAGATTGATTTTGCCCTTTTACTTTGTAATTAGAGGTGTATTTGTGCTATACTGTGGTACTCTTCTCCACTCTGAAATTCAATTACAAACAGACAATTTTGGTTAGCTTTCTACAACTTTGATGAGCCCACTGATAGCCACAGATTAAATTAAGTTACTTTGACCCAAACACAATTCTTATTTTGCACCTCAATGCTTTCAAGACTTTCTGTAAACACCATTATCTTCACAATGCAGTGATCAGTCATCTGGCTATTTAAGTGTGCTGCTGTCAGGCTGTAGAACAAGCTAATTTCATAAAGATCTAAGCCCTCACTAACCACCTTTCCCTAGTAATCTAGAAAATAATCAAGTGGGAACGACATCAGAGACTCTTAGTCTAAAATCATCTACACAAAGAGGACTCAAACTACCTTAGAACTCTTTACTTAAAGCCAACACAGGAATCACAAGTAATGAAAGCACTGCAGAGGAACAGTATGTTAGATAATTATCTTTTAGAGTGCTCCATTCAAGGTTATGCTAACCTTCTCTTGGGTAAAGTAACATTCTTAAAAAAATATGTGTGTATAAGCACTCTATATACACATGCACACACTTTAAATATGTAGTTCAAAACACCACTGATTCTAAGTGTCAGTGTGGGCTAAATGAACTGTTTCCTTCCACATGTTCTGCATTCACTGTACTTGAAAATATTACTCTAACTTAAAAAAACAAACAAAAAAACAGTAAGCAAAATTAACAGAGCTGAGTATCTGGCATTATTTTTAACTATACCTTCAAAACTTGAACTTGACCTTCAGTAGTTATGTCCTTCAAAAGGCTACAGAATGACTGGCATAAGACTGAAGCATACATCTGAAATTAAATGAAAAAGAAGGTATTATGCAAACATGTTTTATATCTACATATATATATATAAATTTTCAAAACTCAACAGATCAGAGACTACATATATCCAAAGACACAGCTTTTCTTCAAAGATCATATTTACTAAAATGCTCTTCTTTCCTGTACTAATTAAAATAATCTTATTGGTTTTCAACATTGCAAGGTTCTCTAAAATCAATCTCAATGAAATTTCTAATGAAGGAGTGCAAACAAGGCATGATGTCTCTAGTTCTGTTCCTGATAGAATTCATGCTGATCATTTCAATTTGACAGGAATAACTACTACTGCTCCACATAGGACCTTTTTGGGTACCAAAGTACTAAATCAATTGGCAAAACATTAATTCAAAATAATAATATTTCTCAAATTGATTTGAGTGTCCACCATGTACCATAAAAATCTAACATTAGAACAATACACTTGTATACACGTAAGAGTATCAATGTTTGTGTGCATGAGGTTTTCCAACATGGGAGAAAAACCAGTTTGCCAGTACAGAACTAAGATGATAATACCCATAATAGCATCTTAGTTCTATACTGGCACATATAAGGGTAACATACCTGTAAAAATTCTGATGATGATAAGAAAATATACGCATTGATGATCTTAAAGCAATTTTTGAGGTTTTCTGAACTCAGCTCTGGAAAAAAAGAAATCACAATTCAGAAGCTCATCACCACACTGAAGTACAACTAAAACAATTCACTTCTTGAAGTCTTTGTCCTCACACAGCTTTTAAGTGCCAGATGCCTACAAACAGAAAAAAGTTATCTTTGATTCAGTACTATTCAGGTTCAGTCTCCCTGCTAGCCACAATAACAAAAGAGGGATGGTAACAGCTCTCATGTTCTCAGATGGAAGTACAAGAAATCCTATGATCAATGCTATAAAAAAAAGAAAAATATTTTGGATATGACAGTGGGCTAAGAGGATATTAAAGACAGAACAAATGAAACACACACTAAAGAGAGCTGCAATTACTGATAAATGATCTCTCTCATGTTTGAATCAGTAAATACTGAGTAGAAAGAGTGAAATAAAGATTGCAGTTCTGCTCTTCTGACCCAGGTGGCATATCAAACAGCACTGAGCTTTTGGACAAACACGCTGAACTTTAGGCCATACCTTGAGTATTTCAGTAAGGAAAGCATAACCATTTAAGAGACAGGAGATGGTGTACAACAGCAGTTCAAATAGAAAAAAAAGACATATCCTCAGGCAGTACCTGTAAGACTGTTAAAAAAAAAAAATCACCCAGAACATCTGTAAACACAATTCACAGCTAAGGTTTCACAACTCACACAACAGGTCTCAAAATTTTCGCAGGATGGTTGATACTAGTGCAGAAAGCCAACAGCCCTTATTGATGAGAACAAGAGAAGACCAAAAAAAACTTCAAAAGGGCTTCCTAAATTTTCTTTAAGCCAGTTTGGGAGACAGACTATTCTTAGCAAGGTGAGTGGACTTCTCCCCCATCTTTTATCAATATTCTAGTAAAATCACCATGGAGAGCTAAGAGGAAACTACTTTTATGTAAGTTTGAAATAAAATTCCTTACCAGATTAAACTAACACCAGCAGCTGGCTAAGAACTGGTATATCATCCATAGCTTACATGAACACAGTCTGTATGGAACTTTGGCTTACACCTAGTGACACTTACATAGAAAAACTTCTATGCAAAGTATCACATGACAGAAACTATTGCTTGAAAACACTGTAATGTTTCCTATTACAATATCTGAAAAGTTCTGGGAAGTTTTAGCAGTTTCTCTTCTTTCCCTTCCCATTAGAAAGAAAACTAATACTCCTGCTACTCAACATGGGCACTGGACAGCTTTGAAAGCACTGAGTACTTTCGTATCTCAGTGCTTGGAGAGAACATGCCTTCTCATCATGTATTTTGAATATTTACGGATCTTGACTCCAAAAGAGATTATTTTTCACCTACCCATCCAATATCCTCATCAAAAAAATCCAATACTTCTCTAAATTAGCTTTAGTAGCATATTACTTGTATTATACATTTCTTGAAATTACTGCATTCTCCCTAGAGGTATCCGGCTTTGTTTGGTTTGAAGTTTCAGACACTGATGTAGTAGACAGATTGTAAAGACATGGTCACATAAACAAAGTGCTTTCCATTCTGTGATTCTGTAATAACCACTACAAAGGTTAAAGTGTGAGTAGCAAAACTGCAAGAAGTTATTTCAAGCCAGAAGAAGAAAACAGGTGAGATAAGTATAGAACTGTACTACTTGCTCTAGCAGCACCATACAACAAATTTGATTTTTCAGAACAAGGAACATTCTCTTGATTTTTTTTTTTTCAAAGGAAAGCATCACTCTTCTGCAAGGTTCATTCATAAAACAAGGAAACTGTCACAAGTGTAGAGCAGTCCTGAATATCTCCACCTTTTGTTACAAGAGTATGCCAAGGTTTTTTATTCATAGTCATCCCTACCCAGGAAAGCATCGCATGAAGACTAGGAGGACTGGGTGGGGAGAAAATAGCAGTAGGAAATGTAAACAAGTCACAAATACAGAGTAATTCTGAATTTAACTCAAGCAGATCAGCAGTGTGACAGATCTATGAAAATCACAACCATTCCAATGGTGCAAGCTTCCTGTAGGAGATACTATCTACTACTAACACAGAACAAAAAGGAAGAAGGCTATGCGTGTAGATATCAATGAAGACAAATAGTATTTGGCAGCTACAGTACCTACCTCTTGAATTTAATAATAAAACCAGTACAGAACACTACTTTCTAGAGTAGTTTTGTCATTAGAAATCTAGTATACACACAGAAATAACAGAAGGCATCATCTTGGTGCATCTACCCACCGTGATGTAACTTTCTATTGACCTATAGAGTATTAAGTACTGAAAACAATAATTAATTAAAAAGCCAACTTCTAACATTTTATGAACACATTCCTTTAAAAAATGAATCAATTTGCTATATTAGGTTCACAACCTACAAAAGTACAGCTGAAGATTTAATTAAACAAAACCATGTCAAGATAAGAAAATTAAACTATAAAATTTTTATGCTCCCTTTAATTGCAAAACAAAAGCATCCCAAATATCAATATTTCCTAAGCACCAAGTCCTAATTCTCATTAATAAGTTTCTATATTGTCAACAACTAGGCAAAACTAGCGCTTTTAATTTTAGTGCTGCTTGACAAATACACTTACAGACATATTTAGGTAATTATTAACTGAATAATGGAAAAAGCTAATACAGGAAGTTTTGCTCTGGTTGTAGCAGAACAGGCAAGTATTCCACATAATCAATATCCATAAGTCAGCAAATGTGGTGTTAAATTTCAGGGACTTTAAGAAAAAAAAAAATTGACAAAAAGCCACCTCTGAAATTATAAACTAAGTTTTTCTTATCTTTTTGGTATAAAGCAGCTTCAATTCATTAAAAAAATATCTAGGCTAAATAGATAATAAATACTAAAGATGGTGTGAAAGTCAAACAATAAAAAGCTGTAATAGTTACATTTTTGCAAGTTCCCTTAGTTCTTATACCCACGGCAGCAATACTTAACATGAACAACATAAAGCAGCATGAACAATAGGACAAGCAGTAGAAAAAACACACAGAAATTTTATTTGTAATAGACATACCAAGAAGGGGAGACATGTTCTGAAATATTCTCAGGAGCTCAGGTGTAAGACATGGGCTATTCTCCAATGTCACTAACCTAAGAAGAGATTAAACAAAACATTTAAATCACCTATCAATAACATTGAGCTACCATTTTGACAGAATTAAAACACTAACTCTTAGTAATCACCTATATGATCCTTAAATAATGTGTAATAATTACTCCAAACATATTTCAAATTAGCACTTGTGTTCAGTCATCAAATATCTTCCACATTCTATTCTTGTAAATTCACCATCTCCTCCAGCAACCAGCTCTGAGAATCATTGGGCCATTGTGCTCTCAAAATGAAGCACATCAAACTTAGTTTAGCATGCACATTTTAGTGAGTCTAGACTTTTTGTCTTGCTGTTCATTATCGCAACAGAACAGTATCTTCACTATCAACTGCCTGAAAATAGGTTAACCTACTCAGTTATTTTTGTTTGTTTTATTAATTTCCTAATCATATCTCTTCTGAGAATAGGTATGATATAGATGATGTCAAGGTAAGTTAACAACAACAAATTCCTAACACAGTCAAAGTTTTTTCTTATTTTTTTATTTTTTTTTTACTTCTAAGTATACAAATATACCTTTCTAAAATAAGAAACTGGTAAGGAACATTCTTACCACAACTCTAAACCATCTTCCAGAAGATAGACATGTGGAGGCTGAGTAACATCAGTACTTAGCTGAATAACTGGAAGTAGAAAAGGATAGAGATTTCTGCTGTCTGCTCCAAGCCCCTGTGAAGTAAATGAACATAAAATACGTCAAAAACCTCAAATCAAGCATTTTAAAAGTAGCATTGAAAAAGATCTGTGCTGCTGCATACTGTAAACATTCATTCAAGGAATCAAAGGTTGAACTTCTGTCCATTTCATACAACAGTCTGGTACTCCTGCTCTTACACTAACAATATGTCTTGAGAAAATTGTCATTTTTTTGAAAACAAACAGCTTATCAATGGTGTGGGAAAAAAGAAGTTATGAACAATGCACAGTCATAAAAACATGCCCCAGCCTCTCTCTTTGAGCGAAGTCACAGCTAAAGGAATAGATGCAGAATAAAATATTTTAAAGATCAATAAAAGAATTATTCTTTGGACCTTACAACATAATAAATCTTTTGACATATTCTAAGAACCAGGAGAAGGGTTTGTTTTCATTGCTACTAAACAGTTCATAGACTGATGACAGTGATTTATAGATCCAAGTGCTATACATGAAGATATCTTCCCAAGAATGAAGAGCAAAGAATTCTTTTCAGCAATCATTCAATAAGAAAACCTAATTAAAAAACACCCAAACTTATTATCAAAACTAATTATAAATTAAAAGTAATCCTTATTTTGACTACTTAAAGTGAACTGATGCTGGTTGAATGCTACTTTTTTATGGTTACTATATTTGGAAACTGTTAAGTTGAAAATTATTTGATGTTTTTAAGTTAAGGTTTATTTGAGGAATTATTTATTTAAACAGCCTTGTCTTACAAGAAAAAGAATCTTCCATAATTTGTCTGATCTCTTTGTGTGCAGCTACACTTTGGGACTCCACAGAGGCCAGTAACAAAAGTTCCACATTTTGTTCATTGTGAAAATATATTTTCTCTTTGTTTGAACTCAACTTTCAAAAGAACGCTAATTATTCCTGTATCTGTAATGTCTACTCATTTCCATTCCACATTTTCTCCACCGTTAAACTCTGAAATACTATCCTCTTACTATCTTTAGTCATGTGTTTCACAGAATGGTTTGGGTTGGAAGTGACCTTAAAAATCATCTAGTCCCAACCTCCTTGCCATGAGCAGGAGCACCTTCCACTAGACCACGTTACTCTAAGACACATACAATCTGGCCTTGAACACTGCCAGGAACAGGGCCATCCACAACTTCCCTGTGCAACCTGTGCCAGTACCTCACTATCCTCACAGTGAAGAATTTCTTCCTAATGTCCAATCTAAATCTGCCCTCTTTCAGCTTGAAGGTATTCCTCATCTTCTTGTCACTAGAGGTCCTTGCAAGATGTCCCGCTCCAGATGTTCTGTAAGCCCCCTTTAGGTACTGGAAGGCTGCTATGAGGTCTCCCCAGAGCCTTCTCTTCTCCAGGCTGAACAAGCCCAACTCTATCAGCCTGTCAACATCTACACATCGTTTAAATATATCTAGGGATGGTGACTCAAATGCTTCCCTGTGTAGCTTGTTCCAATGCTTGACAAACATTTTGGTGAAGAAATCTTTCCTAATATCCAATCTAAACCTCCCCTGTTGCAACTCAAAGCAATTTTCTCTCATCCTATCACTTGTTCCCTGGGAGAAGAACCAAGCCTCACCTAACTACAGTCTCCTTTCAGGTAGTTGTAAAGAGCAATAACGTTCCCCCTTAGTATCCTTCTCTCCAGGCTACAGAACCACAGTTCCCTCAGTTATTTCTCACAAGACTTATACTCCAGACCCTTCACCAGCTTTATTGCTCTTCTTTGCACACGCTCCAGCACCTCAATGCTTGCTGAAAACTGAATACAGAATTCAAGGTGCAGCTTCACCAGCACCCAGCACATGGGGATGATCACTTCCTTGGCCTTGCTGGCCACACTATTGCTGATATAGGCCAGGATGCTCTTGGCCTTCTTATCTGGCTGGTTCACAAGCTGGCTCATGTTCAGCTGGCTGTCGACCAACACCCCCAGGTCCTTTTCCACTGGGCAGCTTTCCAGCCACTCTTCCTCAAGCCTGTTGCATCTCATGGGTTGTTGTGACCCAAGTGAAGGACATGCAACTGAGCCTTGTTGAACCTCATATACTTGGCCACAGCCCATCAGAAGAGTATATCCATCCAAGCCAGTTTTGAGAACTGTAAAACACTAACTAAACAATCTTAACTAAACACACAACTGTGGGCAAATGATAAATACAAGCAATATACTTTGAAAAGCAAAAGTTTCCTACAACACATGAAAAAAAGTATCTACAAAAGCCTACTGAAAAACAGTGGTCTGAGAATCACTATGTTCACCTCTGTCTGCGGTATTACTATCACTTATTGGAAGCCACAGTCACAAACAAAGGTGAGGTGACAGTCCCTGCCTCAAAGACCTTTTAATAGCCCTGACCATTCAGTTGTCACATGGACATGAAAAAGCAGATATTCAAGTATAGATAAACGAAAATAATGAGCACAGATAATTATCTAAGAAAACAAAAAAATCAAAAACTGAAATACAGCAGTTCAGAGGTGCTAGTATCTCTATTTCATATACCATGTGAACAAAGCAGAAGAGAACTGCAGAGAAGCCAGGAATTTAAGAAGGAAGGGATAAAATAATTTTTTCCTCATATGCTATAAGAAAACGTTTCAGGTATCATTGCAAAAGGTCATGAAAGCTACAAGAGGTCATGCAGTAGGAAGGTAATGGTAAAAATGGTAACAATAAAAGGCTTGGAATTATAAATAAACAAGATGAACCACGATGAGTCAATGCCAACACCACCCTTGTAGGACTTTAAACCGAACAGTTATGAGTTAAACAAAAAACATTTGATGCAAATTTAAAGTGCCAGCTAAGTGAAGCTTGTTGTGGTGGCCCATATCTTAGCCTACGATTTTAAAATGGCTCATCTTCACAGGAAGTTTACAACCAAAATAGAACCTCAATGCCCTTGGGAGCTGAATGGAAAGCAATGGGGAAACAGATGCGCTTATACTGAAGATTCAAGTCTAGACCATACACAATGACTGCAAGAAGAGACAGACGCTCCTAATGCCAGCTGGAAAACAGGAAGCCAGAACAAGCTTTTTAATATAGACTATAAAGTCACTAAAGGTGGCTCGGTTACAAGATTAAAAACAAAAACCTCCCAGAACACAAGCAAATTTGTGTAAAAAACTGCTTTACTTAAACCACGAGAAAAAAAAAACAAACCATGTTAAAATCTTAGTATTAGCCACCTTTACCTCCATTATTAGAGAACCATGTCTTGTACAGTCACGTAAGGCTGAAAAGCATTTAGAAATAGCCTGTAAAACTAAATTATACCTCAATTTTACCTACATATATATACACAGAGAACATGTACACATGCCTGAGAGATAACTGTGGGAGACACTGACCGCGTTTATGTGATTCTGACACCTTACCTGGACAAGATGGATTAGGGTGGTTAAGATGGCACATCGAAGCATATTGTGCTCCTCACTCTGTTTCCAAAGTAGTGGTAAATACTGAACCAAGCATCCTACATACGGTTGTATCTGAAGTTCAGAACACAGATTTGTTTCTCAATGTGTGAACAAGGCCATTAATTTATCCCAAGCATAACTTTCTGAATATTTAAGAGCTTTTGTCACAGCAGAAATACAGTTTGCTTTAATTTACTCCTCTTTCCCCTTCCTAAAACACTATATTCCATACTCTGTGACTAAAGGAACTTCTGACTGCACAGTAGTTTGAAAAGAGCATACTACTTATAGCAACATTTCTGGATAGCAAACAGGCTTAAGCAGTAAACAGAGAACACAACCTCTGAAATTCTCAATCTTTTGAGCAAAGGCTGGACTACATAACCTGCAGAGTTTGGGTCCCAAACTATTTGTTTTCTACACTCTACCATACTAAAAGGTTAACCTATTTGTCTTCTCAAGTATTTAATTAGAAATTAACCTGAACAGACTCAAAGTCTCTTTCTCAAATAGTTTTTTAATGCTGCTTATCTAGTTGATCTAAAATCCAGGGAAATCTACCACCACATTGGCTTCTCCTGCAAGGGACAATTAGGAAAGCTTGATTTGGCTCTAAGACAGGATTACTTGTGGAAAAAGGAGATAAGCTCAACACCATGCATTATCTCTGTCCTTAATACAGTAATAATGAACGAAATGCAAAAGAAAAAAAGTGACAAAAGCAGTCAACAATTCAGTTTTTAATTCTGTAAAATCATCCTCAATTTCTTTATATATAAGCTGAAAAATATACTTTAAGAAGGAAGTACTAACAAATTCATAATGTGGACTAGAAATTTTAATGCAGCTAAGGACAGTGCTGTATAGACAACTGTGATCGCTATCAGGTAACAGATTACAAATTCAACTGCACAGTCTCTAGGAGTGTGAAATATTTTGTCTCCCAAAATGCCTCTTTTAATATGTAAAAATCTAATCAAATACTAGTTCAGATCTAAGATGAGACAATTAGAATAAATTACAACAAAAAAAAAAAGAAAATTGCACGAAGTGTAATAAGCAGTTAAAATCTAAATCTAAAATCTAAAATATATAGTAAATTAAGTAGTAACTGAGCAAGAACAAAGATAAATGAGAACTGAAAGTGAAAAGAGAATCAAATAACGCAAACAATGCAGCTATCTACCATAACAATAAAGAGCCTGTTAATTGATGCTATTTTCCTGCTATTTTTGTATAAGCCAAAACCACTAAGTCCTCCCCTGTGTTGTTAGTACAAAGCCAGCACTGAAATCTATAAAAAAAATACCTGTATATTGACTCTTTCAATCACACAAGACAGAACATGAAGAACATGCATTTTGGTGTCACATTCTGTTACTTCCTGAAGTAGTTTAAAGAGCAGTGTAAACATGGATTCCAGGTACTAAAAGCAAAGTAAAGAACTACATATTAGACCATGAAAAATAAAACTGTACACTTATAACTCTTAACACATCTATGAGCTTTGACAGATACTTATGAAGTATGAAAAAATGTTGTTTCATTTGCCTAAACAAGAAAAAAATTCAAATACATTCTTACATAACAGTTCAAATGTGATCATTTTGAACATACATTACTGTCATGTTTTGGTAAGTGTAAACATGGTTTCACAGATAAAATACTATAAAGCTGAAGGCCATCTTTCCAGAAGCAGCACTTTGGTCAAAGCAAGGTACAGTCTTTCAGCTTTTGGGTCAGTAGATAAAATTCATATATTGAACTGTAAGGGAAATCTTAAAAAGCTACCATGTCTGCTGCGTAGACACACATATTTATTTGTTTATTCTCAAGAGACTTGCAATTAACATGGAAGTCAAACGATAAGAAAAAGCACCTGCTAAGTTTCAGTGACTAAAGTAAGTCTTTGCTATATTTACAGATAACACTTCATTGTTTAATGACATCAGTAATGACCACTGTAAAGAACACATACAGAAGAGATCAGTAAAAGTCTCTATTTTTAAGGTGCTGTTTTAACCACACACATGTATTTAATATTTGTGTGAAACAGCAGGTCAGAAAGTAATCTGTGAAACAGCTAAACTGGCAAGTCACATTGGTGAGACGTATTTCTTAAAGATAGCATTCATATTGTCTTAGCATGAAGAAACTTACTATCTGGTAACATATAGTATATGTAGTACTGAGCACAATCCTAGGAAGCTGTAATAGTCATAATACTAAAAACTTTGAATTGTCTGTCTGCATATTGCACATTAGCAACCTTAACAGCAGCAGTATGAGTCTTTACAGGTTTTGGCCTATGAAGTTAAAAAAAAACCCAAATCAAACCAAACCCTAAAACATATACACACACTGATTACAAAATAGTGTGGTTTAAAATAAAATTGGAAAACAATTATCTGCTCATCAGAATATGAAGATACAAAAGCTCTTACCGGTAAGAACTGGTCAGTTCTGAACTCAAAGTCATCTACGGGTAAAAAAAAATTAAGGAAAAATAATACAGGTTGCAGATGGACATGAGAATCAAATAAGCAAATATTCAATGGATAAACAAAAAAATATGATGTGAAGAATTTATATTATTTTCCAATAACTTTGACTGAAGAGCTAATCAAACATCTTTACCAATAAAAGGATATTTAACTTCAGTGTTGTAGCTGTCTCAATACGGACCTGAAAGATAGAAGTCAGTAAGCATCACACATACATCCATTTTGATTATCTACATAATGTCTGGGAATATCAAACCAGTTATTATTTTGGCAACTGAATCATTCTATGTGTTCTGTCATCCTCTAAAAAATATAGTTAGTTCAACACAAATATTTTCATCTTCTTTCATTTCGGTCCCTTTACATTTTATTTGACATTGCTGAAGTAGTACCACATGGAGCAACTACTCGGGTAAAACCTTCAAGAAAGAATTAAACAAGAAGATATCTAGGCTTTGATGAAAACTGCTGCAATAGAGAAGGAGTTTAGCTTGGGATTGATGTTATTCAAAAAGCACAGAATCACAAAAAAACTCAGTAAGTGAGCATGTCCTTCCCTGTTGAATGTTCACTGAACATTAACTGAAAACAGCCACTTAACACAGAAGGAGATCCTGTCTGGATCTGTCTGGAATCACAGAAATAACATGACTGCCAATTACTAATATTTTACTAACAAACTAGCTAGGTTTCTTGATCTATTTTTTGGTTGATAGGTTTCTTTGTTTCTTTTGCTTTTATTTTTAAACAATTATGAAACCAGTTTCTCATTTCAAAACTGAAATTGTAGCTTAAAACCCCAGAACTGTACTCAACCAGCTTAGCAACAAATGCCAAATATTCTGCTAGCAGATAACTATGTTTATGGTTATGTAATACTGTATGCTGCGGAAACTAGTCACAGAATAAACCTGTTTTATCTACACAGTGTTTATTTGTTGATTAATTATTTATCTCAAGACACTTCACATTTCTCTTCCTGTAAAAAAAAACCCAGACTCGTTGTTGCTATTTATTTTCCCACTGAAGTCATCACCTTAACATGGTAATGGCTCATTTAAAGTTACTGTTCAACATCACAATTAAAGACCCTGCAACTTCCCAAGAGATTATCTTCTGCAAGACACGATAGACTTTAAGGTGTGATGTTATGAAATTTCCAAACAAGTTTTCACAAAGTATGGTATTTATGTTTCATCTGTGTTTACAGAACAGAAGTATAATCCAAAACATTACATATTTATACTTACCACTAAGTCCTGGTCTTGAAGTAAGTTACAAATTGTCTCGTATAACACAGGTCTCAAGTCTGATTTAAATTTTACAGAAATCCACTGCCCAATCAGCCAAATTACTCGTCGGCGTATTGGCTTATATCTTTAAAAAGTAGGAAAAAAATGGTACTCGTTAAATTATTATGCCTGCTGTTCTAGAACATTTCAGTGAAAAAGAAATGTAAGAATCACTAGGAAGACTATTAAAATACTTAGTTTGAAAGACCAACTTTAAAACTTTAGCACAGAAATCTCTTTCAAAATACTTCACTAGAAGGCTCAGGAAACACAAACTTAATTGGGAAAAGGATAGCTTTCATTCCAAATGGCTGAATCTTGAAGGTCTCACTAGAGAGAGTTTATTCCACATATAAAAAACAATAAAAGAAACTAAAAATACATCTTATACCTATTACTGCCATCATGGAGTCTACTGTTTTCACCATAGTTTCCAGCGATTTCCTTGACATTCCTTTTATACTCAAAACTTCAGGTCAGATACAATTTAAAAAATACAAATTTAAGTACTACATTGGTCATGTCATCAATCTAAAACTGTTCTAAGAACTGACCTTACCTAATCCTGACGCACTGCTGCAACAAGTGCACAAATCAATCAGTTTTAGATTCAAATGGAAAAAGTAAGAACCAGAACAAGCTGAACTGCCTAACATAATGGTTCAGAAAAGCATTCTGTACAGCTGCTGCTTTTCTCCACAGATTATAAAAGATTAACAGTAAGAGTAGTTCAGATTTTAATGGTTAACTTGAAGATATAGAAAGTTAGGGAAGATTAATCCTGTTCACAGAATTTTATCTAATGGTTATTTTCCCTTGTTATCCTAAATGTATTTTTTTCATGGCTACCTTGGAAGCCATCAAGACCACAATTTAAACTGAAGCTACTGAGGCTTCTTTACATTTTATTAAGTGTGATTTATTAAACATTCCCACAGTTAACAAAGCACACCTTCAGAGAAGATGAAAGTTGTGGAAGTAGCATGTATACATCAGATTATTACACTGGACCAGAAAGCTAAAGAGGAATAACATTTCAGTGTTGCCTGAGACTTACTAAGTGGCACTGTAGCATGAACAACCCATGCTGAAGCATGACTTATACAAGACACTACCTTACTAACATATCCTCCTATTTACCCCAGAAGCTGTAACAATATGTTTTGTACGCTGAGAATACTCCTGCCTAATACCTGTGCTTGTAAAAATCGGAATATTAAGAATTCTTTTCTTGAGATTAGCATTATATAGTTTTCAAGCCACTATCATAAAGTTTTAAATGACATAAGTAGATGGTGAGAGCAAGGATTTTCAGCTCTAATGATGCCTGCTGTATCTGAAGCAAGTGGTATCTCGTGATAGCAAGCGTATCTGAAGGTGGTGGTTATCTGCTTTATCTGAACTGCATATGTATTCCTGAAGCTGTTGTTAAAGCAAACATTCCATTCAAACTACTAACACCACCTCCCTTATTGCCATGGTGGTCTCCAATGTTGCTGGCAGCAAAAGCAGTTCAGACAACAAGGCTTCAAACTTCTGGACAATTTCTACTGCAAGTTACTGTCCCTACAGGAATTTCATCCTGGGATATCTAAAATGCCAACCAAATGGCTATATCGGGCATCTTCCCAACTGTAATTACAGCTGTATCAAGCAAGACTTTTATCAGTTTTACATATGCTATATGGCCAGATACCATGGTACAGATACTATTGCAGCTTTAGTCAAAGATTGGTGCTGGTGTGGCAAAACAACATCAGATCAATCATATACGCAAGATCAAGATCTCTTACTTTTCCTCCTCCTTTGACATTTAGCCTAACAATTAGAGTACTTGACCACTGGCAGGTAGCAAGATGAAGTGGAGATCATTCAAAAGAATTTAAAAAAATGCTAGTAAGAATAAAAACATTAGGAAACAGCAAGTAAACAACTGTGACAATTATTCTATGACCCTGAAGTAAGATTAGACATCCAAAAGCAAATAATTTATTTTAAAGTATATTACACTGAAAACAAGCATTCTACTATTCATAAGTTTATCAGGATCTTCCACTCTACATGAAACGTACTTAAGGTGTTTATAACTGGCACTTGGAAATAAAACACTACTAGCAACCCATAATGGAAAATAATTTACAATTTATAGCTACGAAGGGCATTAGCAAACAAATTAGTTTATATTCCAGGTGACAATTACATCTGATAAGATGTACTGCAAAAGTGGACAAAAAAAAAAGTAGAATTCTTAAAAGGACATTAGGGTCACCGCTAATGACTCTGATGCGAAACACAGGACATAGTTATTCAGAATCAAAGGGTGTTCTGGAACTCATCTGATGAGGATTAGCAGACACAATAGAAGTTAGTGAACTTCTGAAGGAAGAGTGACAGTTTGAGGAATGGTGAAGAACATTGTCTTCTAGTCAGCTATAGAGATGGACAGCTCAGTCTGTACTGAGATGCCAAAACTGATCTATGATCTTTCAAAATACCCTACAATATTTACTAAATAATAAAAAGGTACTCTTCTGAAGGTCACGCAAGTGAAGGGGACCTTGGTGAGAAGGAAAACCCACAGCACATGGGCTTCTTTATATAGAACCAGCCTGTAATCATTGACAATTGACAACACAACCCAAATCCTTCCTTCCACACTTTACTGCTGGAAAAATTAACTGAAGTGTGCTGCAGAGGGCTTGTATTTAAACTGGGGGGAGAAGTGGGGGAAAAAAAAAAAGAAAAAGAAAAAGAAAAAAAATCTCTATTTTGGCTAAAATACAGTTTTACAGAGATTATTTCCACAGATCTCAGTTGGACTTTGCTGCCTAAAGGGCTATGGGGACTCATAAGGCCTAAATATCTTTGTTTGAATGAGCAAGGGCAGTTGTTCTCACAAAATTTAATTAACTCAAATATACGCAAGAGGATTGACTTACAATATTTTTACAGAACCCTGGAAGTATCCACAACACAGTAATTGAAACATAAGCTGTCATAAACACTGTCATTTCTGTGATGCTGTCAGTTATCTATAGATGTTTTATATCTCTGCTCATTTAGTGAATATGTTTAAACATAGAATATTTTACAAGTCTGCAATTATTTGTATCTTACCAGATTTTTATCAACAATACATATTTAAATGATGATGGCATAACAAACTAAGGTGTTTACCTGTTATGAGAAACCTGTAGTTCTGCCAGTAGTTGATTTTTAAACCACTGATCAAAATCCACACTATCAAATAGTTCATAAGCAGCCAATCCAACCGCATTATACACTGGGGGAAAACAACAGTTATGCTTACTGTCTGCTTAAATGTTTAAATACTCAATAATCAGACTAATAAAAAACCAAACAAAACAGCACTTTATTACCTGAACATAATAAAGAAAGAGAACTGAAGCATATCTTTCTGAAGAAAGATACAATCAGACCATGGTGGAGGGAACTCTGCAGCAACTTTTAGCAAAAGAAGGGTATTACAGAAGAAATTTCAGACACTTGAAAATAGCTAAAACCCATAAAAGTAAAGAAGATCTTATTCTAACGTCCAGAATGGTTCGACCAGTAGCTACTCTTTGCTTGTTTTGTTTGTTGGGGTTTTTTCACCACAAAAATCTCTCAACTTGTAAAATGTGCACAGTACCTTCATGAAAGCACTGTAGCTCATTTATTTGCAGAGAGGAAAGGACAGGACAGTGAGGGAGTTTGCCTGAGGGCTTGTTTCGTAAAAAGTTAAAAAGCAGCGCCATATTTTTACATGAGCATTTCGCAAAAGTGAAGGTTGACAACAAGTGACAGTGGAAACAGGATTTAGGTCCCATTTTCCACATGTCTTCGAGAAAAAGAAAAATCTTGCAAAATTTTCACATAATTTCTAAGAAATCAAGCAGACACAGAAAAGCAGCTTTGCTACTTCAAAGATAAAGTGTAACTTAATTTACCAGCATCTTTAATCAATATAGCATTGGTATCCTCCACATTGGTAGATCCTGCAAGACAAAGTTAAAATAAGGAAAAAAGTGTAACAAAAACAAAAAACATAAGTAACTTTACACTTACACACATTAAATATGCTGTGATTAAGACTAATTCCCCGTTTTTATTTTATTCATAAGTTCAGTTATTTTAGTTTTGATACTTTCTTCAGTGACTACACTAAAATCAGATCTTTGCTTTCAGACCCCGTTTTTGACTGACTTCTTCAGAGATTAACATTTTTAACAGCAACATGCAAATAAGTCCAAAACATGTATTCTAAATGAACAAACTCAAAACTTGCAAATAGCTGAAGACTGCTGACCACATGGAACTATTTACAACAAAGTCCTAGACCTAGTTCCTGTACACTTTACAGCCAACTGCATGAGTACTCACAATATATAAGATTTTCCAAAATTTTAAGAACTACTGAATTCTTAGTATCATCTTGTATATGAACAGTAACTCTCAGGTTGCAAACTTCCAAAAGTGGCAACTACTAGGGGCTTCAGGAGTGAAGAAAAGGCGTATGCATACCTTTTGCCATGGAAGAATTAACTTCCATAATTCTTGGAAAAATAACCTTTTGCCACTACCAACATCACCGCACAGCAAGCCATCCCGAAACTTATGTACACGAAGTACTTAATTAAGAGGTTCTGTGAAGTCAGAAACTACTCTCAGAAAATGTGTACTTATTTCTATTTAATAGAATCTACTCATCCAGTCTGGTAAGTTCAAACATAAAATACTGTAAGTCAGGTAAGATGCAACCTGGGGAAACAACCTAGACTAAAATGATAATGAAAACGAAGTGGCAGCTACCACTAATAAAGTTTTATGGCCACTATAAAACTTTGGGGATAAGAATCATTGAAACAGAATTGAAAAAAAAAAACCACCTTGAGCCACTCAGTCTACGAAGACTTTGGTCCTCATACAGAAAACCACTAAACTTTTTAAGCAGATTCTTCAGCTTTGGAAAGTCCTCCACAGAATCTAGAATGACAGCATGACTTGAACTTTCTCCTTTACAGTTTTTTCCCCCAGGATGTTTTCAGATACAGCAGATTTACCATAAGCTGCCCTGCAACATTTGAACAGGAAGCTCCCAGCAAAAAGCAACCTACAAAATTTATGAAGCTTTTCGACCATCCTCAAAAAAGCCTGAAACGGCCTGAGAGCAAAAATGCCTCAATCTTTGCCAGTCATCTAAACTAGTTACAATGAAAATTAAAGAATACTTAGGATTTCCTTCTCCTAGATACACATGGCATTTTCCTTACGGTAGGTTCAGAAATAGTTTTAAAATATTAACATGGCTTTTCAAAACTACAGAGTGAATGCCCTATATAAAATTAGGTATCACAAGGTAAAATCATTTAACAGTTACAAAAGCAAGTGCAAAGAATTCTACATTTTACAGTTCATTTATTATTTAGATTACTTACCTTGTAGACTGTGAACCATTTCTAAAAGCACAGGGGCAAGAGTCTGGTTATATTCATGGAAAATATCAATAAAGAGAACTTCCGTGCATGGCTGAAAAATTAAGAGATCTGCTTTAGAATCTATCAGAACAAAGGCAATTAAGGTTTTAGCATAAAATGTATTTCAAGTGCTGAGTAGTTTAAAATGTGATATACTGTAGCAAAACCAGTTATTATATGAAATCCCAGTCTTACTACCATATAGTACGCTTAACTTTGGCTAGTTTGATGCCTGTATCTGTGTCAGCCAGTTCTATGGTTGAAGAACAATGGATCTGAGGACTGATATAGCTTGTGTTGAGGACCCAGTGACAAGATTATAAGTATGTCATGGTTTCGTTTTAGATTAGCTCTAGCCGAGATATCAGGACTTAACACCCACTTGTGCTTGGAGCACAAGAGATGCACAGGTTTGGGATTTTTAATTTTAAAATTGAAGCAACCCAGCAAATAAACTTTGAGATCTCTATGTGAAGCAAACCACAGCAATGATAAATGGAGATTCACTACAACAGCATACTTTTGATATGGTATGAAATAAAATGTTAATACAGATGTATCTGAAATTTTCTTCTTCATTATGTCTACTAAAAAAGTCATGACAGTACCAGTTACCAGTTTAAAGAAGAGACAACTTCCAGTGGGTTTAATCACTAGATACTAGACAATACAAATGCTTAAGCAAACTCCTTTACCCTCCCTCCCGAAGTATGAAGTGCATAGTTTCTAGTGTATTTCAGCATGTTTGAGCATTGATTAAGGAACAAAGTGGATTTATAGTTAAAGAAATTTCATTAGAATTAATAACGATTTTTTTAAAAGCACAACCTTATCTTTCTACCAAGTATCATCTCTCATAACAAGATTAAGAAATGCAGCCAGAAATGTTGAAAGGTTTTCTTTCAAACTGAAATACTTACTCTGAGACTATACTTCCATGAATCTCCTCCTGTCTCTTCTACAGCTATTATTTCACAAAGGAAAAAAACATTATTTCAACTATGGTTCAAATAGACTTTATTAGACGTGTGTATCACAGACTACTAAGAAATCTCTAGTTATGAAAACAATCTCTAGATGGCACATGCATGCATGTAACAAGTCTACCAAAAATAAAATAGCAGAACAATAACCGATTTTTAGAGAAAATGACAGTATGCAACTCTTATACCATAACTAAATAAACTGCAACCAGCTACACAACACATTTCTTACTGAAGCCTTCTGGATCCTCTTCCCACATGGTTAATTCTTCCTTTGTCAGCAGGAAGTAGTGAGTGACTAATCTCCTACATATTTCCATTAATGTTGGATATGTGAAAAAAGCAGTCTTAATCTTATGAGCTTCAAGAGTTTCAGGACTGCTATCTGAAATAAAAATAGAAAATGTCATATTACAATTAAATGGCTTACAGATAAAACAGTAGTCTATTAAAATTAGAAAAAAAAATCAACAGATAAGAAAGGGAAGAAAAACACCCAACAAAACAAGGCATTTTCATGTCAGACGTTTGTAACAGACTTTCTGGCGATACTTTAAGTCAAGCTTCCAAATTAATTTACTTTTAAGAGAGTTCTGTAATAGCAAAATTAGACTGAAGAGCCATTCGGGCTTCACAAAGTCCTGATAATGTTTTTCAGCTAATATGTAGATGAAAAGAAAAACTGTTTACCTGTTGCTTTTGGCATTACTTTTTTTTTTTTTTTTTAATTTAGCATTACTGCTCTTAAACACACAAAACTCAGTTTCATACTGTATGCTACAGAACCGACACAAACACTGTATATCTGTCAAATTAAGAAAAATAAGTTTCCCTTTCTTTAAAAAAAAATAAAAATCATTCAGTTCTCAGAGTCAGATGCTACAGCTTTTATCAGATGTGCTATATTCTGGTCTCGAGTTACTACATTTCTATTTCAAAAAGCTACGAAATACTGCACACAGAAATTTCTGTTAATGATCACTGAATTTAGGACATTCTAATGTATTGGGAATACATAAGTATTGGGAAGAATTTCAAGTCCTGGGTTTGTACCATCTGACACATATCAGTATGCTCATGAAACTTTTTCTTCCCCTCCCCCCTTCAAATTTAGAAATGGAATGCTAATTGTTATCTAATCATTGCCAAATGTCAAACTAAGGTGGAATGTTGTGGGTTGGTTTTTTTTTTAATGTACCTGAATTCTACTTTTCATTATCTGTGCATACAGCAGTGCATGAAGATTGAGAATGAAACACAGTTCCACAAAACAGAACATATGAATTATTTTATATTCAACAGCATGTCAAATTCACTGTCCTTCAGAGTAGTGGTATTAGTTAATTACAACAAATGCTGCATTTTGCCAAATATTTCTCAAGGAAAGATGTATGAAAACATTTGATGATAATAAACCAAATTCCATACCTCAATCCTTTTTAAAATTAGTTCAATACAAAATAAAATCAACAGACTTCTTGTGTATTTAAAATTATTTTAGCAAGTCAATGTTTACATACATTAGTACTTTTACCATCAAAGTAAGAATTACCAACATAGAGACAGCAGAATACATTACTAACTATTAAAGTGCTTCAAAAGAATGTCTTAAAGGAATTTTACTGTTGGGAGCAACTATCAAAATCTTTATCAAGATACAAAAAGTTTTTTCAGTAAGTAGCAGCAGTACCTTCAATATTTTTGGATGGCTTGTATGCGTAATTTTTTACAATCATCTTAATGAGATTCATGCATTGTACAATAAACTGCTCAAATACAATTCCTTCACCGGCCTCTGTGAAAACGTAGCTTACAGCAAACTCCAGTGACCTCTGAATCAAAGAGGTGAATGAAAAAGGATGCTGATCCAGAAAATCCAAAAGCTAAAAATTAAGGAAGCAGAGAAGCAAGAAAGAAATCAGATCACTTTTTGTGCAATTCTCACATGCTTTCATAAGCTAATTATCAAAAACAAATGCCAATTTACATAAAAATCTGGAAAAGAAATCAGACACAGACAGGAAATTAGTAAGGTACTAGGAAGTTCAATGGTTAATGAAGCATTAGTTTGCCTTGAAATTCTTGATTCATATTCAAAATTACTTTTAAAAGTTTAAGGAACAATACCCATTTTTAACTAGACCAGCTTGCTAGCAACACAGTATATAAGACATATCAACCACAATTAAAACCCTGGATATTTTAGTAAATAGTCCACCCTATGTGAATTACTCTTAAGTAAAAGAGGCATATGGGAAGTAACTTTTTATTCCTTTTTCTCCCTCTCATCTGCAATACCAGCACTTGTTTCTTCAGCTTAGCTTTTCCAATTTGAGATCTAGAATGTATCAGTCAATTCCTTTAATCAGCTCTATTCTACAAAAACGCCTACAACTAAATTCTTGCACCTGAATTTCTACAGGTAGTAAATTATATATTAAAGTGTATTTTCAGGTTTATGAAAAAAGATGCATATGCCTCACACACTTTCTGTTAGTTCAAAGTAAAAAGAATTATGGCAAAGACCAAAAATGCTGGATGAGAGCACTTTCAGCTCAATTGTGGTGAAGCAGACAAGTGCCTCCCACATCATATAATTAGGCTGAATATTTAAATAACATCTATGGCCCCAAAATAGAATCCAAAACCAACGGTAATTCTGTACATTTCATATAATTTAAAAACAGAGCAAGTGACAACGCTAAGATTACCTTCCGATAACATATAAAATTTAATGGTTGCAGGGAATTAGCCAACAACTCCAAATGCACTATATAATACTAAAGTCACAGAAGATAGGAGAGCTTTTCTGTTAATTTTCTTTCAATAAAATAAAAGTGGCCAGTTACCCAGTAAAACTTAGCGTCTTCGAAATAACAAATCTAACTGCTTATATAAATAGGATGGTTTCTCTTCTTTACTCAATGCTGATAGCAATGTTTAAGCAAAACTTCCAGAATTCTTTGAGCAAAATCCTAGCTAAATAATTTATTTACAGAATGCATTTAATTTTGTTTGAGCTAAGGAAATGTATTCTTCAAGCCAACTTATGTCAACATAAAAAAATAGGCACCCTTTTTTAAAAAATAAAACTCAAAAATACGTTTCATACCAATGAACTTTTAAATTGCAGTACTTTCCATTTCTTTAAATGGATCTGAAACCTATTCACTTTAAGACACATATGTAACTAAATGGAGACTGCTCCTCCAGAATGGTAAGCTATTCAGTAACTGAATGAAAAATTTACTTACCACTTTAGTGAACAGAATTATAGTCTTTTCTACACGATCTCTGCATAAGTTTTCTGCTCTTATACTTCTACCTGGTAAATCAGATATTCATGGTAAATCAGATATTCAACAACTGTAATTTTTTCAGAGTTTTCTTTTGGATAGCTAAGCTTTATAAAATTAACTCTGGAGAACAATTTGGTTTTTCTGCATTTCAGGGATTACATCAGCTAGAAAAAAGTTCTACAGCAGAATAAATTCAAAGCCAAATTCAAGGTAATGAGTACTGGGAAAAAAAAAACAACAGAACAGCCTTTAACCATTTCTCTCAGCTGTACTGAAATTCACTGTTACTGATCACAATAAAACAACTGGGGCATCATTACAGACAGTTCAGTGATAAAAAAACAAATAAGATAATGCAAGCAAATGCTGGCATGGACAAGGAGTCAAAAAACATCAAAAAGATTAACATTTCCTTTTATTATGGTATATACTTGTTACATAATGATATGTGCTTTTCAAAAACTCCACCTTAAAAAAAAAATTGATTATGGACACTGGGAACATTCTGAATTTATTAAAAAAAATAATTAAAAAATAAATAAACTAACAAAAAAACTCAACACACAGATAAAGCTTCTGGAAAAAAAATGAAAAAAAAAAAAAGGTAGTGATAATGAAGGCATACAGGAAAACCCTGTGATATAATTCATGTAAACACTAGTCTTGTAAGGTAGTCATGCCTGCTTTTGCAAAGCAACATATTGATTAGAAAATTCAAAATATGGGGGGGGAGGGGGGTTTGCTCAGTTCTTAAGACACTCAAACCCTACAGCCCTCATGTTCTATGGGACTAGAGATAACCACCAAGCTTCAGATGGGATAGCTTTTAATTCAGTTCATGACGGCTAGGCAACTATCTTGCAAAAAATGAAAGGGTCAGAAAGAGTGTAACTACAAGGTAGCAGAGGAGCAAACGCATGCAGAGAAGCCACCAGCTTAGATTACTAAAGGTATTTGGCATTGAACACAGTAGAACTTTTCATCTTTTATAGAAATGAGGCTTGGAGTAAGACCAGCCCCTCTCAGCTAAATACAGGCTTCTGAGACAAATATCTTCATTTATAGAAAAGAAAATTAAAAAAAAAAATTCCTACTCAGTTCAGACATCTATTCTCAGGCAAAGTGTTGCTGAAGCCTAAAGGAATGACCTGACAGGCTTCAGACAGATGAATGCCTTACACCAGGTCTACTACAATTATACAAGCAAGCGACAGGAGCGAGTTCAGATGCAACACTGCCAACATGCCACTCTCCTTTTTGTTTGCTCCAGGTAACTCTCCTGAAAAAGCACTAACACCTGCTAACTATGCTTACATATGTGACTGTGTTAACACGTGCTTGCTTGTCTCAGACTACTACTCTTGCAGTTATAAATCACATACAGAGGAATGTAGTCTTTATTTCCCATCTGACATACCAAAATATATGGCAAACCCCAGGAAAAAAACAAGAAAACAAAAAAACTCAAATCAAACCGAACAAGACAGAACAACAAACCTCAAAATTACCTGCTTTTTAGTAGCATCTATTTTTTTTTCTTTGACTAGCAGTATCATACCAAGTATAATTTCAGTGGGATTTTAGTCTGTTGCTATAAAAGGGTATGTTTTATTTAAGTCTGACAGTTCTAGCAGCACTTAATGTAATAGCTTTGCACATATAAATTATTACTGATGATGCAATAAACCATATTATGTGTTCATCCAGGTCCTATCATTTAACAATCAACAAAAGCAGAATATCCAGGCACTTACTACACTCCAGAAATTGTTTTAGCCGTTCAAATACTGCGTGTAGAAAGCCCTGAAAAATATAGAAATATATGTGTCTTTTAAAGATGAAGCTTAATTTGTACTGTATTATAAAAAGAAAGTTGAGTCAAACTAAAGTCAGTTCAGATGTGTTACTACCTCAGACATCACCTGCTCATTTTTAACTAAATAACTGATTATCTCAGACAATTTCTTCATGAAAGAAATGATCAGCTATCCAACAGACTGCATATATGATCCAAACCAAACTTACTAGTACCAGTCACCAAAGCTCTCCAATAGAGGGAAGTACAGGTAAATATAGACAAATGCTTTACAATCTGCTTTTACCCTGTTCTCAACTTCCTAGTTTAGGTCATAGGTAGCCAAGTCTTTGAGGAAAGTAGGCTGTGCTTGGAGTTAAGGTAGGTGCTTAGGTTTCTTTCTTGTTTCTCTGCTTCCCCCCAGTACGGGCTACAAACCATAGGCTTTCATCTCAATCAGAAATATTATGTTAATAGAATTTGATAGGACAAATATGCCATTACGGTCATCATTAAATGAAAACACTCTCTTCAAATTATGGGAGAGAACACATATATTTCAGTAGGCAACAGGGTGTCACTATCATGTGACGTAAATTGGAAGGGGTATGTTTTCTTTTTTATGCATCATGCCATTGGTGGCACAGTATTTAGGATCTGACAGTTCTTAACTGATGGGAAGACAACTTTTGAGAGTGTGCTGCTTGACCTTCCTTTATAGAACACAAATGTGTGCATTTCAATGATTCTTAAAAATAACAACACCTAAAATCATCACAAAGGATTTCTAGTCTAGAACTTCAGATATATGTCACTTACCATCACCTCTGCATTCCAGTGAGGCTCTACAAACCCATGGACAGTCAGTTTACGAAGCACTAAGAAAAAGAAAGAAATCACTTGTAGAAATATTTCCCAGCCCTTGTTCCAACAGATTTCAGAACACGATTACGATTACAGCTGCTGTGCCTTTCTTCCAATTCTCCATATTAAAATATATGTTTCATTTTGGGCCTTTAGGCCTCAACCACACCTAACATGAATCCAATCTTCTTGAAATTACTTTAATATTCAGTACACTACGTCTAAAATAAATAGGACTCCAAGAATTACTGACTCAAGTAGAATTATGCAAAAGCTGTAGGAATTCAACCTCTGAAAGGCTCTCCAGCAGGAAGAGAGGCAAGTATAGTCAAGTAGTGTCTGTAAACCATCTTTCGAATTTTCTCAGGTTTATTCTTGCTGGTAACCCAGAAAAGCCACATGCTGCACCTTCTGATACAATTCAATAAAGGCATCACCTACATTGCAAGCACTGCACACACCTCAGTTTTTCAAAGCAGCAATGTACAGTAAGAATATATATTCATCACACTGATAAGTACCTGAGTATCAACCTAAATCTGAACTCACTGTTAAGGCCACCTTTTCACTGAACACAGGGGAATCTTAAAATTCATTGCTCAGTTTCTTAAGTGCCTAAAGACAGACAACAAGCCTAACACAAAGCATCCTGTAACGTTTTTCACTTTCACACCTCCCAGACTTCTCACAACATGCATATCAGAATGGGACATACTGAGAAATAGGATTACCTTCTCCCCCTTCCGTGTGAACAATCCTTCTGGCCTTGCTAAAGGTACACGTAAAATAATGTGTACATGATTTTCCCAAAGGACATGATTTTGTTAGAGAGTGCAAATTCTTTACCAAAGAAATCCTACTCATTCACTGTTGAGAAACTTGTTTGATCCTCACATTTAATATCATTCTATATTATTACCTTTCAATGACAACAAGGTTCTTTCTAGTGAATTTGTGGCTCCAGTTTCATTCCCTGTACAAATTTGCTGGAGGAATGTATCCGTATGATGATTCCACAAGGAACATGCAAAACTATAAATGCCTGATGTAAGCTGCAAAAGGAAGAAAAACCAACAATATATTTGATTTTCTGAATTTTGGATACAGTATAATAAATTCCTACATTTTAAAGGCCATCTTGACTATTGAATTATTTAATCCATCCTCTTGCGTATCATGGGCCACAGTGCTTCACTTGCTTCTTTCCTACTGATCCAAAGACATTCTGCAGAAAAATACCTTGTCTTAATTTGAATACAGACTCACCTGCTTCTGATTACTTGGTCTTTGACTTTATCACCTTAATGACAACTATTCAGGCCTATTTTCTTATCTAATTCTCATCAAATACAGCCACAGGTCTACAATACTGTATAAGGCTTCCTTACCATCTCCTCTCCCACAAGACTTATAACTGTTTGTCTTACAGCGCAGTTGATAATTTGAATCAAATTAGTCTGGGACACAGTCAACAGTTACATGCTTATCTCTACTAAACATAACAAACAATGACTACACTGGAAAGAACTTTGCTTAGCTGATATCTGCAAACTCTGACTTTTTGCCTCAAAATATTTAAAATACAGAATGACAAGTAGTTTCTAATCAGCAAGTAGTGACCAAATCTTAATTTATATTACAGTTTCCAAAAAGTGCTTACCTGATAAAGATACCTGGAGTACAAACAAAGAGTAAAGAATTTCTCATTCAGTTATAGCAGCACTTGACAGCTTCATAGTTAAGGGACAAACTGCACATAGTCTGCTACATGTTACATCAATGGAATCAAAAGTACACAACCTGTTTATTGGGTTCCTTTGACTGCGTAAAGGTGAGAGAGTAGAAATTCTTGATAATTACTCAATGACGTGTTCATGGAGTTGTAAAAACACATCACTGAATAATTATCAATAGTTTCAACCTATATGCGTTTTGGATGTTGACTTTCAGTATTGGGAATGTCTCTTATAAACAGAATAATCGTAATAGTAAGCAATAACAACTCACAGTTAACAACAAGAATCTCACAACAACAACAACAAACCACAACAAACAGACAATTCAAAGCAGCAGTTAGTCCTAATAAGAGAATATACTCTTTATAAATGCATTTGTTTGTTAACCAGCGTACCTTAGTACTAAAAAAATTTAAAACAATAATTGATTTATTAACAAATGAGGGGCATCCAAACTTGTTTGGGCAGCCTCCTCCACTATTTCACTGCCTTTACAGTGTAGAATCTTTTCCTATCATCTAATCTACATGTACTCTGTCAGCTTAAAGCCATTCCATTTCTCCTGTTACTACATTTCTTTGTAAAAAGTCCCTCTTCAGATTTTCTGCAGGCCCCCTTTAGGGACTGGAAGGTGCTCTAAGTTTTCTCCAGAGCCTTCTCTTCTTCAGGCTGAACAACCCCACCTCTCTCAGTCTGTCTCCATAACAGAGGTGCTCCAACCCTCGGAGCATCTGTGTGGCCTCCTCTGGACTCCCTAACAGGTCCATGTCCCTCTTGTATTGGGGGCCCCAGAGCTGAATGCACAACTGCATATGGAGTCTCAAAAGAGCAAAGTAGAGGGGGAGAATCCCCTCCCTCAACCTGCTGGCCACAATCATTTTGATACAGCCCAGTATATGGTGCTGCAACTGCTGGCTCATGTTGAGCTTCTCAGCAATCAACACCAAGTCCTTTCCGATACGGCTGTTCTCAGTCTTCTCAATCCATTCTCTGCCCAGCCTGCAGCTGTGCCTGGGACTGCCCTGAGCCAGTGCAAAACCTTACACTTGGCCTTGCTGAACTTCATGATGTTGGCACTGGCCACCTCTTGAGCCTGTCAAAGGTCCCTCTGGATGGCATCCTTTTCCTCCAGCATATCAACCACACCACACAGCTTGGTGTCATCAGCAACCTTGCTGAGGGCGCATTCAATCCCATTGTCCATGTCGCTGACAAAGATAATGAACAGGACCAATTCCAACACCACCCCCTGAGGAACATCATTCATTACCCATCTTCAGTTACACATTGAACCCTTGACTACAGCATCTAGAGTGCAACCATTCAGGCAATTCCTTATCCACCACATGGTCCATCCGTCAAACCATGTCTCTCCAGTTTAGAGACAAGTACGACAAGTCTATACAAGCTCAGGAGTGTTGCATCCCGCCTAGAGGGAAGTGCACCAGGAGAGCCAGGAAACCTCCTTGGATGGATAAGGAGCTGCTGAGGAAACTTAGAGGGGAAAAAAGGCATACAAAAGAGGAAGCAAGGACAGGTGGCCTGGGAAGAATACAGGATGTTGTCCGGGAAGCTAGGGACCAAGTTAGGAAAGCTAAGGCCCAGTTAGAATTAAACTTGGCTAGGGATGTGAAAGGTAACAGGAAGGGATTCTGTAGGTACGTAGCAAATAAAAGACAGACTGGGGACAACATGGGCCCTCTCTGGAAGATACTGGGAGAACTGGCTACCATGAACTTGGAGAAGGCTGAGGTTCTTAATGACTTCTTTGCCTCAGTCTTCACTGGCAAATGCTCTGATCACACCACCCAAGTCTTGGAAGGCAGACACAGGGACTGTGAGAATGAAGACCCTAGGCCTATTGTAGGAAAGGATCTGGCTTCAGACCATCTTAAGAACCTGAACATGCACAAGTCCATTGGACCTGATGAAATCCATCCGCAGGTCCTGAAGGAGATGGAAAATGAAGTTGATAAGCCACTGTCCATCATATTTAAAAAATCATGGCAGTCAGATGAAGTTCCCTGGTGGTGTTCAAAGCCAGGCTGGTCAGAGCCTTGGGCGACATGGTTTAGTGTGAGGCATCCCTGCCCATGGCAGGGGGGTTGGAACTAGATGATCTTAAGGTCATTTTCAACCCTAAGTATTCTATTATTCTATGATTCTATAACAAGGCTGTGTAAGCAGTACCTTGATTTAGGAGAGCTCTAGAAAAAAAGTCATTATCTTGCTCATGCTTTATTGCTTTGGAATTAATATCAATACCTTTTGGAATTAATTCCATAATACATGATTATCCAGATCACGTATAACGGCCTAATAAATTTCAAAATATAAACAAGTATTTCCTATACAGAGGTTATATTCATCTGTACCTATATACAGCAGAGAGAGAAAACACACGGTTCCTCTACACACAGATCTCATAGCAATGTATCATCGTTTCAGTCCTGTCCTATTACAGGAGTCAGCCTTCCGTGCCTCAGACTCCTAATTAAAATTTCACTTTAATGATTACACAGCCAGAACTTTTTTTCTTCATAGATAAATAGGCAAAACTTCAGAAATAGTCTGCATTATCTGTCCTCTAATCTTTTATTTAAAATGGAGGAATGAAATAAAATTTTGAAAATTCAAGTGTAACATGTTTGGAAAAGATGTTTAACTCCCTAAATTCAGTACTACATCACTGCTTAACTCCAAATGGGATTGGAGATGCAACGACCTACAGCCACAGGTAATTCTGTGTTCTAATTAGTGGTTTCTTGCAATGGAGAATGTAAGCTGCATAAGACAAAATTATGGCATTTGTATTTACATATTGCCTTTTAATTAATTCGGAAATTAAATCTGGAAAAAAAACCCAAACAATTCCACTGATAACAATAGCCAAAAATAATATTGTATGGAAGCCTTAAAAACAGTATTTCTAAAAGATTATAAATTATATTGAATTATGAGTCCAGAGCACAATTCCAAGATACTACAAATTTATATATAATCAGATCTGCTGTACAGAATGATGTTAGGTTGATATGCAGATATTGTTCTGTATATGAACATATCTGCTTCTTAACACAAGTTACTATAACAAGCTACGTGCAAAATTAATAAAAATCTCAAAAAGATTTCACCTAGAAACTGACTTTCAGTTATTTCATATTTTACATACACCCACCAAAGTAACAGCACTTCAAAGACAGACATTACACACAATATATGTGCCATTAATGCACTGCCAGCTACCCACAGGAAGTGGCAAGCACGTACAACACATGGACTGCGCGCTCTACAATCATGCATCACATTACTTACATCATAGAAAAGCTTCCTATCTGCAGCCAGCCTTTTGGATGCCAGGGTCTTCGTAACATGGTATAAGGTAAGTAGAGCTCTGTGTTGTTGAAGATCATCTTGGACCTTCACAGATTCTAGAAGAGTGGGTATAAGTTCTGGCCATTGCCTTGGGCAGTCTACTCTGGCAACTTTAGCGATTAGTACAGAGATCTGAGTTGCAATCTGCAAAAAACATGGAAGAGAACAGGCACCACAAAGTCAAAGATCGGTTAAATGAGCAATGCAGAAATTAATAACCTACCCTAAATAAAATAAAAAAAAAAAGAAAGTATGGATCGCTAGATTGTGTGGTCTTTTTCACCTCAAACGATTTTTTATTTTGCTGAATGCAAATAAACTCATGAAAAAAAAGTCTTCTATTGTGCGTTTACAGTAAATGTTTACACAAAATGCTTATCTGGCCATGATGTTTAAATTTTACATAAAGACTACTGAATATTTCTTCTAGAAATCACAGCAATGAAGAAACAGACATTTGGGAGCTGATTCTACTTCATAATCTTTTCTATTACTTTCTACAAGCAAACATAGACTGCTGAATACAAACACAGACTGCTGAGTACGTATTAGTTATTTCTGCTATACCAAAGTTTTAGCTTTTAGACAGACACTCCCTCCCCACAGGCACATGTGCCTGTAAGGCACAGTTCCAGCCCACCAGCTTAAGCTGAGACTCTCACTTGTTCCAGACCCTCACACCATGGGCCACAGGCATCTACACTACCCTCACCATCCAAGTTTGGCTGCTGGCACCAAATTCCGCTCATGCAAGTCTTGCCAGTAGCTGGCACCTGGCTGTTGCAGCATGAACACACAGTGAAGAGAGTGAGATTATGCAAAAAAGTAGTTAAGGGAGTCAATCAGAAGACAGGACAGATGGCAGTGATTAGGTGCAGGGTTTGCTCAGACATGGGTACTGACAAGCTGTGAGTTTACACGACTGGCCCTTTTTATACCCTCTTTCTGTCTATTCCCCAGTTTGCTGTTCCACAACTCCCTTCCCGTAAACATTCCTTAACAGATTTTGTATAATCCCTCACAAGCCCACCTCAAATATCCAAAACCTTCACAGCCTTGTTTTCCTGTTCTTATCCCATTAGTCTTTTAAAGGTCCTTGATTGGATTAATGAAGCAGATGCTCTCACCTTCAAAATACCCTTAACAACTACCACCACACTTCCAGCCTAGAGAAGTCACTTCCTTATGCTACCAAAAGGAATCCAAGCAATATACAGGCACAAAAGGCCATGTCCTCCTTTACTGCTTCCTTAGCTGTTTAATCTGAAATCGGACCACCCCCCAAAACTTCCTACGATATTAATTCCTACCCACTTGCTTAGGGAGAAGATTTGTTTCAGAAAACTTATGTCAACATTTACAAGGAAGAGCTGTAAGTCTTATTTATTTTTTGATCAAGTGATGTCAACTGGAAGGAAGGAGCAAGTAAACTCTTCTCCACATGTGATACAAGAAGCAAGCCTCCCACGGGTACCAGGCACACTCTTCCTTGAGAGCAGTCTTTTTAACGGGGGGGGGGGGGGGGGAAGAAAAAAAGGAACCAACCCAAAACAAAGATTCTCTGTTCTTTCCATATGTTAAATATCTTCACAGGATGGAAATTATGCTCCCAACCATGGTATGTTGTGTTTTAGTTCCCCCCTTCCCCTAGAAGTCAGCTAGTGTCATCACATCTCAATTCTATGTCTAATTCTTCTATTTTTTTACTCATTCTTTTTTTCTTTTTATACATAAAGAGGATATATTTTTTCTACCTTGGTGCATAAAACGCAATCAGATAGTAATCGTGTTATAAATTATCTGCGACTGGAAAACAGCACTTATCAGAAACACAGACTATCAAAACTCAGACGTATCAGCAGACTAGGGACTAAATGAAAGGTGCCTCTGAAAGAAAACCTCAAGATTTTTAGAGCGCAGACTGGGGAACAAGGGCAACAGAAGGGGAGATTAAGTCTGCAAATGTACTTCAATATAACAATAACTGAGCAATCATTTAGAAGCAGGCTGCTAGCATAAAAACAGAACAAAACCGTTCAAGCTTAAAACACTACAACCCAAAAATACCATAGGAACACACACATAAAGCTGCTTGTCTTTATAAAGTCAGTTAAAGTTTCAATCTCAGCATGTAAATACAGTCTCAGAACTACAGAACATGAGCAGGGCAGTTTGTAACTACATACTACTATAACTTTAACCTCTATTGTTTAAGAAAGCAAATACTAAAACTAACGAAGGTATGGAAAAAATGAAAGTTTGAGTTGCTTTACATTACATGCAATTAACATTAGGTTCTTAGAAATACAAATCTCATGCAACCCCTTCAAAATTAAATACTTGATAAATTTTATACTACCTAGTAGGAGCATACATAACACAAACTTTGTGACAACATGACATACTGCATAGGTTTTTTTGGTAGAAATAAAGAAACAAGTAATACAGAATCATAGAATAGTTAGGGTTGGAAAAGACCTTAAGATCGTCTGGTTCCAACACCCCTGCCATGGGCAGGGACACCTCACACTAAGTCATCTCACCCAAGGCTCTGACCAAACTGGCCCTGAACACCACCAGGGATGGAGAATTCACAACTTCCTTGGGCAACCCATTCCAGTGCCTCACCACCCTCACAGGAATTTCCTCCTTATATCCAATCTAAACTTCCCCTGTTTAAGTTTTAACCCATTACCCCTTGTCCTATCACTACAGTCCCTAATGAAGAGTCCCTCCTCAGCATCCCTATAGGCTCCCTTCAGATACTGGAAGGCTGCTACGAGGTCTCCACGCAGCCTTCTCTTCTCCAGGCTGAACAGTCCCAACTTTCTCAGCCGATCTTCATACAGGAGGTGCTTCAGTCCCCTGATCATCCTCGTGGCCCTCCTCTGGACTTGTTCCAACAGATCCATGTCCTTTTTATGTTGAGGACATCAGAACTGCACACAATACTCCAAGTGAGGTCTCACGAGGGCAGAGGGGCAGGATCACCTCCTTCGACCTGCTGGTCACACTGCTTCTGATGCACCCCGGGATACCGTTGGCTTTCTGGGCTGCGAGTGCACACTGAAGCCGGCTCATGTTCATTTTCTCATTGACCACCACCCCCAAGTCCTTCTCCGCAGGGCTGCTCTGAATCTCTTCTCTGCCCAACCTGTAGCTGTGCCTCGGATTGCTCCAACCCAGGTGTAGGACCTTGCACTTGGCATGGTTAAAATTCATGAGGCTGGCATCAGCCCACCTCACAAGCGTGCCAAGGTCCCTCTGGATGGCATTCCTTCCCTCCAGCTTAACAAGCAAACCTCACAGCTTGGTGTCATCGGCAAACTTTCTGAGGGTGCACTCAATCCCACTGTCCATGTGAGCAATGAAGATGTTAAACAAGACCGGTCCCAACACCGATCCCTGAGGGACACCAGTCGCTACTGGTCTCCAGCTGAACACTGAGCCATTGATCACAATACTTTGCATGCGGCCATCCAGCCAGTTCTTTACTTACCAAGTGGTCCATTCATCAAATTGATGTCTATCCAATTTAGAGACAAGGATGTTGTGTGGGACAGTGTCAAACGCTTTTCACAAATCCAGGTAGATGACATCAACTGCTGTGCCCCGTCCATCAGTTCCATAGCCCCATCACAGAAGGCCATCAAACTGGTCAAGCAGGATTTCTCCTTAGTGAAGCCATGCTGGCTGTCACCAAGCACCTTGTTGATTTTCATGTGCCTTAGCATGCCTTCCAGGAGAATGTGCTCCAAGATTTTGCCAGGCACAGAGGTGAGACTGACTGGTCTGTAGTTCCCTGCGTCATTCATGGGTCATATTTTTACATTTATTATTATTTGGTTGTATTTTTTACATTGATAATATGGCTGCACTATGAAGTTAAAGATATTTTCTACATCTATCTGCATTTGAAATAAAAACTTTAAATAAAATCCAAATTGTCATTGTAAAAGGTCTTCTGCAAAGACTGTTTTACCCTAATTTTGATACATTGATCTAATCCTACAAATAACTTTCATCCCATTGAGGAATCCTGAGAAAGTTGAAACGGAGCTGTCAATAGAACATAATTTGTTTGCTTTTCTTTTTCATTTTAAGCTTTACCTTATATAACTCATTTCTGTATTTTACCGAAAAAGTTAAGACCTAGCTCAAAATATTAGGAAATACTTCCTTGCAGAATCTTATACTTACATGAGTAAGAAGAAGTTAACAGAAGGAAGACTGATTCAGCCAGCATATGCATATTCTGAGTCCCTAACTTTAGCTCTATAATAAATTTAACAATAAATCCTTACTCTAATCAAAATAGTAGCTTATAGTTAGTCACTTTTTACAAGACAAGACAATATCCTATTGAATGCTATTTAAATTTATTAACGTTGTAATTAGACATGTGACATCAATACTGCTAAGGTCTGTTTATGCAGCAGCATTTTCAGCAGCTCATTCCTGCTATACCAACACCACATTTCCTTGAGTCAGATCAGAGAACAGATACAGATGAAAAAAAAATCACTTGGGGAACACAGGTTATTTTCAAGCTGCCTTCATTCCCTGAACTACTTCACCAAATGGCTACATAAACAATGAGGGACTACATAAACTGCCACTGCAACCAAAAACAAACTAAAGAGACAGAACATGCTGTTTCCAACCTAAATAATTAAATGAATTATGATCTATGGGGAAAGATCTCACTTCAACATAAAGACCTGTCCAAAAGGCAACATGTAAATTGAAACTTTGTGAAGACAGAAACCAATATATACACCCACACAAGCACTTGCTGGGAGATTAATAATTGTTCACCACTAACCTGATTCACTGGCTCATTAAAGTTGGCAATAAGTCCGGCACGCAATGTAGTTTTTTCTTCTTCAGAAAGAGCACTGTCAGGATATATTTATTAGATTATTATTTCATTTCCAATAGAAAACAACTCTTCAGATTTTAAAAAACTTTCTATTACTAGACACAGAAATTAAATTATTATTTCCATTTGTGCATCTGTGTTAGACTGAAGATTACTTCTGTACACTATTTTCTCAAAAGCAACAGCATGATAAAATACCCAGAGAACACCATTTGTTTTTCCCCTATTTCAAGATATTTAAAAAAAGAAGAAGTAAACAGAGGTATTTGTGAGGGCTTTTAGCCTCCAGTTTTGATGTGACCTTTGCAAACACAAACAGTAAAAGGTCACAGAGTTAGGTACCCAGATATATTACAAAAATAAGGCAAAACTATACGAACTATGAGCTGATTGTTATTACACAGACAGTTTTTACTGTGGGGATGGATGATTGAGCATGACTTTGCACATATATACTAATGGATAATGACAAAAAGTTGCCCAGTATAAGGCAATCACAGTACCAGATAACAACTTTTTGCAAAAGCAATAATCTTTTTCTACTACAAATCCTTTTCTATAAGCAAGCCACACAGCTACACTTAAAAATATGGATCTTTTAAAACGATCATACCTTTGAGTGAAAAAAATGTTTATATAATCTTCAAAAAAGCAGGGAAAACTAGTAAGAGAGTTAAATTCTGAACCATGAAGGTTAATTTTCATTGAAGTGCAGCTTTATGATATCTTTATACTTCAGGGACTTGTATCAGTTTAAGACTACAAGTTACAGTATCATATTACTCTTGTACTACCTCAGACTTTATATGACCCAAGTAATTTTCTTTTAGGTTCCAGGCACAAAACATAACTTATTTTCTGTTTGTATTTATAGACTATACAACCAGATAAAAATCCACTTTCATTTACTGATAACATCTAGAAAACCGCTTCTTGTACTTAAAAAGACTAAAATGATGACAACAAGGATGTTTAGCTGAAACTGTTTTACCTAACATTGCAACAATTTAGAAGCATGCATGCCATCATCACATCTCGATGAAGTTTAGTGACCAGAAATTAAGACTAAACACACCAACACAACCACTTCTTGTCTAACCTTAAATACAGACACTAACCTACTAGTTTCATATAGTGAGATATAAAATTATGCCTAAAGCTCCCCAAAATAGAGCTTTTACACTAATCTAAGCAAATACTAAATACTCATCTCAAAATAATAATATGTAGAGGTAGCACTTACTCTAAGCTCAAACATTTGCAATGTTCTAGTTGTCACTTCCGTCCTCCCCCCCATATATAACATCAGTATTCACTATTTCGTTAATCAAAGACTTACCAGTAAGTATAATACATAAGGAGAGCAATTTATTGTTTCACTGGTGACTCAGAACTGCATGCTAAAACTTAATTTCAAAGGTAACCTACAGCACTCAGGAGCCACATTTAAATATTTTTATTTTTTTTATCAAGCCTTAAGCGATAAGGTATTTTTACACAAAATTAAATTATGTCTAAAAACATTTTGGGTAAAGTTCAGAGATTTCCACAACAGTAAAAATTTCTCTGAAGGGAACTATTTCCAAAGTTACTAGATGACATTTTAGGGACATAAAATTTCTGTGGTCCCCTTTTCTTTTTTAATACAAAATGCAATATATAATTTCCATGTATACAGGCGTATTTTAAGTGGTATCTAAAATGTGAAACCTGTTAAAGGATTAAGACATCTCATCTCAATTAAATGTAGCTTGTACAATACCTTAGCAATAACAGAAAGCACATAAAACTGGTTTGTATAGAAAAAAAAAAAAAGAAAAAGAAAAAAAATAATGGTTTACTGTCTCATTTTCCTTGCTTGTGACCCCATGAGGCCCCTTGCTTTACTTATTTTTTCATAATTATATTAATCATATCATATGCATATTCCACAAGCACTAAGCATTGAATTTGTTACTATAAATTAAAATGCTGTAATTAAGCTTTTTGCCACTATAAACAAAAACAAGGGAAGGAAAACAAACAGACTCATGAGGATGAGCGCCTCAAATACAGAACCTTACCATAAGCAAAGCTGTCAAGGAGCAGTGAAATGGAACAAAGCAAAACCTAAGAGACAAGGCAGATGAAGTGCCACTGGGAAAACAATGTTTACCCGGTGCCACAGCGACATCTTCTGGACACCGACGGATATACACACACACCCCCCCCTCAGCCGGCGGAGTCGCAGGCATGGCCACAGGCAGCGGCAACTATATCGTCCTGCACAAAAAGCCCACAGCTCCATCAAAAAAAAGAAACGTTATAGGCAGGCTAGAAGGTAAGAGGCTTGCGTATCATTCAACAAGGCCAGTGCTGAAGGGTGGCCACAAAGAAAATGGAGACTCACTTTATACAAGGTGTCACATGGAAAAGATGAGGGGTAATGGGCACGAGTAATTCCTGGGGAGACTCCAGTTGAACACAACAGGAAAATTTTTCACAAGCCAAACCATCACCCATTGGAATAATCTCCCCAGGGAAGTAGTGGATTCCCTAATGTTGGGCATTTCCAAGATTCAGCTGGATAGGGTGCTGGGACATCCTGCCTCGGTCATGATTTGCCAAGAAAGGTCAGACCAATGATCCTTGAGGTCCCCTTCAAGCTGGTATTCTAAGAATCTACAATTCTATGAAGTTATTTCCCTTCAGCACCGAATTTCATCCAAGCAGAAGTTAAAACAAGTTCTTCTAGAGGTGAACTCCTGTCATGTTGCAGTCTCACAATTTGAAATTTCAAAGGTTCTGATCTTGCCAGGTTGGACGGGGCTTTAAGCAACAAGGTCCTGTGGAAGGTGTCCCTGCCTGTGGCAGGGTGGGGTGGAACTAGATGATCTTTAAGGACCCTTCTGACCCAGACCATCTATGACTCTATGATCTTTTTCTGTGGCATGGGGGAACATGTATCCAGGTATTTAAAATGTATTTCATAAACCAGAAATACAAATCTGTAGAGTTATTTATAGTTATTATTCAAACAAATAAATACGGATTTGAGACGTATTATTAAAGTTTCCCATGCAGTAATCAAATTGGAGAACACAGTCCACAAAAGACAGTTTTTAACTGTAACTCTCTGTAAAAGTCAAAAACATGTTCAAGAAGAGCACTTAACACTCAAATTCAAGAAAACCAATTTCTGAAGAAAATAAAGTCACACACGAAATCATAAAGTGAGACCACATTTTGAAGAGGTTAGCAACAAATTCCAAAAAATAGGCCAAATTGTGCCTGAAAAGAGGTTACGCCAACCGTAGGCTCTTCTCCACAGCAATCTGGAAAGCTGCCTGTGAAAGCAGGAGGGAGAAAGTTCATAGGCTCATCTCTAAAACCACTCCCACTGAAAAATGCTGCTGTAACTCCAAGGCAGGTAGATAATCAACAGCGAACAGGACAGACTGCATGAGTGAACATGTGCAAAGCACAAAATATCTCAGAAGGATCACTTGTTCTTAAAACAAATGGAAAAAAAAAAAGTGTATTCAGTGTTCTAAGTACTTTAGCATAACAAAACACTCAACTGTACTGTCCAAAGAATTCATGATCCATTTTCCTGCTTTTCAGTAGCAGCAGCTGAGAAGCCATGAACACTCAGAAGAAAAAGGGTAAAGCTAGTCCTGCTTGATTCAAATGAAATTAACTTCAGCACACTACTGCTGAAGAGACATCCAAAGTACTGGGAAAGCTCTTGAAAATTCAAGACAAATATCTGAGCATATAGGTTATATGACCATATTAAATGTCTGCAAGTACACTCCTCCAGTTCTCACAATTCTTTAAACTACCTGTCACAGTTCAACTACATTTGGCAAACAGCAGAAATGTCAACGGTATGATTTTTTCCTTAGATTCTGTGAAAATCGACAGCTCAGAAAAGTGGGTAGGTCTAAATTAGCATCCCACAGAAAGACATATAACAATCGGTCCTTAGCTTCAAGGAGTCACCTGCCAGTCCAAGACCTGCTCTATGAAACAGGCTGGATAGATCAGAACAAGCTTTGAGGTACTAAATGGATGGATACAGCATGCTACTGCTGATGTGAGAGGCAAGATGAAAGGCAAGAATTTTGCAAGGACAACGAAAATGCTGCGTGTTCAATGAAACCTTCAAAAATTCTAACCCAAAACACAACCGGTTCACAAGATTGAGAAATCACAGCTTAAAAGCGCATTTTTCAAAATGCCCTTCATATATTCTGCTATGAGAAAACAGATCTGTGACAGTGCAAAATATTTCAGTAGGTCATGTATAAGAAATATAGAAAGAAATTAGAAATGCTGAAATAATTAGACAAAGCAGAAATTTAATGCATATTTGCCCCACAGAAATTTTAACAGCAGGCAATAATTTATTAATTCTTTAATTCTTAATTTCTTTCTTTCTTTATTTTATAATTTTATTACATCAAATTTGCTGCAGAGAAATGACAAGTGGGGAAAAACTAGAGAAATTTTATACAAATTTACCCCATGGAATCGTTAATGATAGCAAATGATTTATTTTTTTTTAATCACATTTGTAACAGGAAAACTCAATTTTACCTCTGCTCAAACAGTAATACTGTTTCATGACAGTCATGAAATGACATGTAAAGACAGTTTCATGTAATGTCATGTAAAGACAGTTTCATGTAATCATGACTTCTGCAGGAAATGAACCATGTCTTTTTCCCCAGAAGGGCTACTAATATCTCTCTAAAAATACTGGCAAATTGGAACAATATATTTTAATTGCTTTGAATAACGCTTGTTAAGTACCAGTAATGTAAGCAGCATTACCTCATCACTTTACCAGAAAAGCCAAAGATGCCAGATTCCATGCAAAAGACAGTATTTTCCTTTTGCAGATGTTTCACAATTACATACTAATCTGTATATACAAAAAGTCTAGTGCTTTACATAATAATGGAGTACTACAGTAGTTAAAATGTCCTGCAGATGCAGAATTTCATCACTTTCCCCCCTTCTGGTAGAACTTGGAAAAGCTTATAAGGCAAAACATATTAAACTGTCTTAAACAAAGAACACAATGAAAACAATGCCATATTTTGTGAACTAGCTTAGATTCATGATCCATAAAAACTGGACCTGGAATTCCAATTTACACCATATATGACCTGACACCGATGTCCCACCTATTTATATTACTAGCCTTTAAGAGACAGACTGAACACTTCTATGTCCTTCCTAGCCCCTGAAAACAGTGAAGGAAAATTCAAACTCTTTGAAGTTACACCTACTCTTTAAAGGAAAAATAAAAAACTTCACATAGAACACAGACAAGGATATAATTCTGTAAGTATTACAAATTATAATAGCACCATTCGTAACTTACATAAATGATACAGTGCTCGAGAATACTGGTTATATTTTAAGCATCTTTGAAGAACTTTTTGTCATGCATTATCAGAACTCATATAAAAAAAAAAAAATAGACCAGAACTTGCCATTGTAACAGCTACTGTATACCTCATGTACACATTCCAAATGAATTATGAGTCACATTAAACAGCTCCCTAATAATCTCTCCAAGAGACTTCCTTTCACACATGCCACTATCAGAAACTCCAGGTGTTAACATTCTGACACTTATGACATCACTTCATAAAAGTAACCTTCTAACACAATTTTCAAAATGGCACATGAATAGAGTTGTAAGAAGTAATATGAAGACAAAACAGTTCATTAATGAGTCCTGTGTTGAAACATTACATCAGTTTCACCATGAATTAAGTAACTTCTCTCACCCATGGAGTTTGCTGTTTTCCAGTCTGGTAAATGTAACCTTCTAAATTTGGTTTTGCTAAGTGGAAGAAAGTCAGAACTTACTGTGGTGCGACCCGTCTCCAGTAGCGATCGATTCCATTTTTAAAGTACAGCACAGCTAACCACCTTACATTCACATCCAGGGAATGATTCGTAAAGATATTCTGTTTAAAACAAAAATATTAAGTTAAAAACTGCTGAACACACCACAGACAGGATAGAAACTCTATCAACACATGCACTAGCAGATGCATGAGTGCACAGGCCTCTGTATGTACAGGTCACACCTATGTGTACAGGTGTATATATACAAAATGCGCTAGTCAGGTTTTGACAGGAACTATGAAACTGTGTTAAACGCTACTTTTTAAAGATAAAAAAAAAAAGTGCTTACTGGCCTTAATACCCGATTTATTTAAAAACTCCAACATATAAGGCAAATGTATTTCTAATCTCGTCTGGCTAAGCAGGGAATGAAAGGGTAATAATCACTAGCACTGGCCAGTTGTTATACTTTCTAATGACATAGCTCTCAGAAGTTTGTTGCACTGCAGAATCAGTCAGATTCTGCACTGTCAGAATCCAGCTTTCGGGAGATTTCTTCACTACCTCAAAATGTGCCAAGAACTGTCCTGACTATCAATGTTGATTGCAAACAGTGACCTGGTAGGACAGCAATTCAAACTTGCCTATACTTATTCAAGGACATCAGTTTCCACTACTAAAAAGCAAGATACCTATACACATACATATGTATGTATCCATATACACTTTTATGTACCTATATGTATATACAGACAAACACAGAAGAATTTTTTATACAGTAACATTGTAAAGTTAGCAGCCAGGAAAAGCTAAAATGAAGGTAAACTACTGAATCTTCATACAGGCGTACTAGTTTGAACAGCAGCTTCCTCCTGTTTCCCACTGTATCAGATGGATCCTTCTTGAAGGGGTAAGACATTACTCCCTCGTTTAGGGAGCCAGAAGCGTGAGATCAACAGTCTTACTATACAGTGTAGAAAAAGAGCGCACCACTTGTATCAATTGCTTTCAGATGCCCACTAAGAAGTGACAGAAAAAAATGTAGAGATGCAGGTCAACAGCATCTCCTACTTTTGACTGCCAAGTGTGAAGAACTATAAATAAACTGTTTAAATAACTCTGCACTATAGATACCTGGGAGCCCCTCAAGCATTTGCATGATTAATTCAAAACTTAACCTTCTCTCAGACTGTAGTTCTGTAATAGTAACAGCTTTCTCTATAACCTAGAACCTTTAGAAAAACATCAGAGGTTGTAGTCCACTGATAAACACCACACAACATGGAAAGGATCTGTAATACATCTTCCTTTCCTGAAGCTCATTTAGGAAAAGGGATAGTCTGAAAGATATGACCTTTTCCAAATTCACTTTAATCATTTTTTATGATACTAAGAAGAAACTTCAAACACCACTTTAGCCTCACATCCATGAAAAGAAAGCACTGCAAAACAAATTAAACATGGAAAAAGAAAACTTACCTTGTTCTGAAACTCCCACTGAGTCTTCAAATTACCATTCCCCCCTTTGTTAAAATATTTATTTTAGGGAAAGCTTCCCCAGATCAAAATACCTTAAAACTAGACTGGGCCTGGATAAGAAATGCAACAAAAAAAAAAAAAAAACGGGACAAGATGCCTACACAGGAACAAATGGAACCTCTTTATACACTCTGTATCAATATATGAACTTCCTAAACCATGAAGTATTTCATACAACACATTAACACTGTCATAGAAATAATGGGAATGAAGCTATACTTCACAAATTGATACAACAGGTATTTTGAAAAGAACTGGTGCTCTTTTCAAGAACAGACAGTGTCTAACTTTTAAGTTCTGTTCTTCAGAAGTATGTAACACCTTCAAAAGAGCAGAGAAGATAATGTTAGTAACTCCACCAAGAACTAAAAATCATAGGTTCAAAGATGCATGTTTCATGGCTCCTTATAATTTTCTCTATCCTGATCATCCTGGAGCCAAATGTATCTCATAGTAAATTATGCAAGTTCCTAATTCCCACAGAGATTAACTGTCTCACCAGATCTCTACTTACAATCACCTGCTTTCCCCCAGCCTCTTTTGCTCTGCCAAGAAGGTGTCAGCTATCCCAGGCAGTCCCCCTGTCATAATTAAATCTAAGAAGTAGAGATTCTCTACTTCTATTTAGTTTGGAAGATTACTGTTTATACTTCACACTTGAATACTGTTTATACTTCACACCAGAAGAAAGGCTGCTATGTCCCAAACAGGGCTACTTAACTACATTAATAGACTTCACAGCATTTGATCTCTCTAAACCCTGCATTTTTAGCCCCTATATTTAAAACTAACGTCGACTTCAGTTACACCTGTGAGTGCTCACCTTGTCTACAACCTGAGCTGTAAGCTCTCACGGAAAACACGCAGAAAATAAAGAATGCCCAGTCAGTGGCAATTTCTCCTGTTTTCTGTCAAGATTGTTTATCACCACAGAAACACTGTGGCAAAGGCAGCAGTAAAACACACTCTGACATCCCTAAAGTCAAGATTTTCTTGTACCCACCACCTAAATCCCGTGACTTGCCTTCAACTTTCCAAACAAATTAAATGGAGGGTATACAGATAACAAAACACGTCTCCCCCCCAGCTCTGAAACACTCATCATATGCACCGACAGATGTCTGGAAAAGCAGTTTATCTACATTTTTTAGGACATTACAAACACACAAATCAGAATTAGGAGAATTACTAAGTGTCTTTTCTGAAACAGTTGTTTCTTGTCTTTGACTGCGTCTTCAACACCATGCACCATATTAATGAGTCTGTTTCATCAAGGGTTGTAGCACCTTTGTAAGTATTCACTCTTCTCATTTCAAGAAACTTACTACCAGCATGGTCAACTAATCTCCCCAGGGAGTCTCTTTCCACTGACATGAAAGAAAGCAATCCCAGCTGGGTATCATGCTTCAGTAGTGATGAAAAGCATGGGGGAACTTCTATGAAAATGGTCATAATACACCATCCTCCAAAATAAAGAAAAGGCAGCTTATGCCTTGGTATATTCAAGTGTCCCTGCCTCATGGGGCAGTAAAGGGTCCTCCTGGCCTTCTACAAGCTACAATTTGCAATAGGCCAACAACAGGTTTAGCATTACAGCCCGCTCACTTATGCCACTAGAAGTTGCATTTCCTCCTTCTTCTGAATGTCTCAAGGGAGCCTGTTTTGATAATGACAATGATGATAATGACTACTAATGCACACCACAAGGGTACTATTTAATGGACCATAATGACTCAAGCCTTCTCTGAGCCAGACCGCACGGTTCAAGAATATTATAGAAAGCCACATTCAAAATTACTCAAGAGTTTACTAAATAGCACTTTTCCACTGTATCTTACCAACAGGACTGAATAAAAACCTGGCTGTGTCTCCCACTGCTTCAGTTGTTCCTCAGCTGGCTTCAACACCGCTGTATCTTGACTTGTAGCTTGGGTCAAGACTTGCAAAACAATAGTGCTAGCACTATTGAGATCCATGAAAATCTGAGAACACTTAAAAAGGAGAAGAAAAAAACACTATTAAAATGCAAATACAGATATTTTCCATTTATATTCTCTAAACACCCCATGTTGATTTTTCATCAGACACTGTAAGATAGCATCACACCTACTCACAAGTAGTCTCAAGATAGTGATTATATTGTTTTCAGAAATCTCTCAGCAGCAAAAGCCTATCATTACAAACAAATTTACTAGATTTGAGGAATTAATGGAAATATTTTGAGTTTAAATCAATTACCTCTCCTGTAAAGAACAGCTAAGAGCAAAGCCTCAATCAGCGATGTCTTCAGCTGAAGGCAGAGTAAACCATGGGGTTATCTGAAAGAGACAAAGATGCAGAGTATTTCGTATTTTTGTATTTTCTGAATAGTTTTTCTCCAAAAGAGAAAATTACCCATTTCAGAGAGTTAAATTCTATTATCAAATTGATCTAGACATTCCCTGGGGAGGGACTCTTCATTAGGGACTGTAGTGATAGGACAAGGGGTAATGGATTAAAACTTAAACAGGGGAAGTTTAGACTGGATATAAGGAGGAAATTCTTTCCTGTTAGGGTGGTGAGGCACTGGAATAGGTTGCCCAGGGAGGTTGTGAATGCTCCATCCCTGGCAGTGCTCAAGGCCAGGCTGGACAAAGCCCTGGGCGAGATGGTTTAGTGTGAGGTGTCCCTGCCCATGGCAGGGGGGTTGGACCTAAATGATCTTAAGGTCCTTTCCAACCCTAACTATTCTATGATTTTATACTGATTAAAAGAGAATAAATTATAGATTCACAATTAAAATCTTAAATAAAACTGAATTTTCCTCAATATATTTGCATTTCTTCATTACCTATGTAGCATAGCTGAGCAGCTGAACTAAGAATGCCAGCTGCCTAATTTCCAAAATAAACATATTCTTGTACTCTACAAAGGCAAAATAAAATGCCTCCAACTGACTCAGGTTACATTCATAATGACCACAGAAACAGCATTGCAACTTACATAAAACTATGGAGTCTAACAATTAACTTTTTCTGTCTATACGAACTTCTGTTTACAAACTATGTAAACTTCTCATAATAGCTACATGTTAAACACTTCTATAGTTAAGTTTTCTAAAGAAACAAACACACTTTCTCTTCAAACTGGCTTGAGAATGTGATTTTGTTTAATGCTAAAAAAGTAGCTTATTTTTCTAATCTTTGGGGGGGGAAATGTAAAATTGTTACAGTGATGATAAAAAAGCTAGAGAAAATAAATTTTATTATGACACAAGCTTAAAGCTTTGCTTTTCTGAGAAAACCACCTTAACAACAAAATCAGCAACAAGATTAAAGACCTTTTATACTAGTAATAGCCCTGCACAATTAAAAAAGAATAGAAAAATAAAATCTAACTATTCTCAAGCTCTAAGTCTCCAATCATCCTCAACAATAACTAAAAATTTTAAGGTCTAAGGTTAAAGAAGGTATACTTTCAAATACATGAAACCAAAATCAGATCTCTTCACAGGATTTAACTGAACAAAACAAGTAACTCAATCTGCTTTACACTTCCAAGTGAGGCATCTTTTTATCTCTCACAGTCGGGTCTGTGTGGCAAGGGTTCTTTTTCAAGGAGGACTACAGGTGTGGCTTCTGTGAGAAGCTGCCAGAAGCTTCACCTGTATCCAGCAAATCCCATGCCAGGTGGCTCCAAGACAAACCTGCTGTTGGCTAAGCCAGCCCCATCAGTGATAGTGGCAGCATCTCTACCATAACAAAGTTAAGAAGGGGGAAAAACCTGCAAAACTGCAGCTGGAGATAGGAGTGAAAACATTTGAGAGAAGCAATACTGCAGACACTAAGGTCAGTGTAGAAGGAGGGGAGGAAAAAGAAATCTAGACTTATACTATCAAACAAGACTTTATTGATAAAGTATAATTCTGAAGTACCTATTCAATTATCAGATCAAAACCAAAAACAGAGAAGTTCCAGAATTTAATGAGCTAGCAGACCATGCGTGTAAACAAAATTGTAAATAAATTCTTCTACTTGAGAGAACCTAATTTAAGGCGTCTTGCTGAATAGTGCTCTCCTGTAATGAGCTGCCACAGGAAAACTGCCTGTATAGCAACATATAGTTGTTGTTACACATACATAACACCGTATAGCGAATCTGCAGCACATACCCAGATATTTGCTAAATATCCATTGCAAGGATATGTTTGAGAGGAAAAAAAAATTTATTATTGAGCATTCATGGTCAACTGATTTTGTACTACAAAAATAAGATCATGTCAGTTAAATTATTTCTCAGCAACATTCAAATCCAATGCAGAAAAGGAACATTTCCACCCAAGGGAACACTGCTTTATGTATTTCACTTAGAGCAGTTTGCACTAGACTTGTTTATAGAAGTTAGTACAGTACAAACACAAAAACCACGAGACTTTTTTTCGTTTTCTTATTTTTGTATGATTAGCTGGCAGATTTGAAGACCAAAAAAAAATAAAAGATAAATATTCACAAAGCTTCTTTTTTATTACGACTTCTCATTCTTGAAAACGTTTTTATTTTAATTCAGAAACTAGAGCAGCTACTGCTGCTCAAACAAACAAAAAATTATTTAACAGTGTTCTCTCTCTGCCAAAGATCACAATAGATGCCCTCGTCAGGACTATCTAGTGACACTTCTGAATAATGCTGTCTCATCCTCCAGAAAACTGTGGTGCAAGGATTTCCTAGTGAGAGGCAGGAAATTTCATCTTATAGCCCCCAGGAGATTTAGTCTTCCATAGATTTGCACAGTTGTTTTTTTGACTCCATGCAAACAGTCCTCACAAAACATTGGAAGAAGCTGTCACAAGCAAAATGACAAAATCAAAGATAGTAATATTCACTGGAAAAACATCTGATACATGTATAGCAAATACAAATGGCAAGATGCACAAATGGCTATAGAGCCAAGTTAATAATTGTCCCCAAAAGGGCCGGTGGCTAGAATTATGCAATGTTTACTACAAGCTTACTATCGGAGCACATACAGAACAGAATATGAAGTAGTCCACTGCTTTTACATTTAAGAAATTCCCCTAAATAGTTTCTGCTCTCTTCAGGGAAGTGACTAGTTTTAAATTTTTTTGGATATAAAAAGAAAATTCATTAAAAAACCCCCAAGCAAATAACTATTTTAAAATCAAGCATTACTACACCTAATTTGAACTTTCAGTTTAAGATAGCTACAACCAAACTAAGATGATGCAAAGAGGTACGGTCACCAAAATAAACAGCACAACCCTCTATTCCTCCTTGCACCCTTAAATACCTGAAGCTGGAGGGAGTGAGAAAAATGCAGGTTTTTGTTTGCTTCCCAGTCCTTTCTCACTGCACTGCTAGAGAGGTAAATGTGCTAGGCATGAAAAAAGCAGGCAGAACAGACACAAAGAGATTCTTCACTATGTAATGGATGCACTGCAACAGTGCTGCCTTATGTCTGCTTAACGTGTTCATCAGACTGCAATTATAATAAACACTGTGACAGCTACTGGGAGATGAGTGACTTTGAATTCAGTGCTTACCAGTACTGTAAATGAGAAGTTGCATTTAGGGACCTCCTTTACAAGTAAAATGCAGTGCTGTGGTATTAGCAGCCCTCTTTTTCCTCATATAAATCAATCTTAATGCTAGAGGGGAAAAAGCAATTATTTTCTTCTCCCCTCCCCCTCCCCCAATAAAAACAACCAATTACCAGACTCAGATACAGAAAAACAAAGCAATAGCATACCTTCAAAATGACTTCAGCATTCCTGACAGCTAGAGAACAGTCAAGCAAAAGTAATTCCTACAAGAAGAACTACAAGTTCCTGGGATCTAATCCTGTTTATCAATCTTTTGTTTCTTTGTCTTATCAAAACGTCAAGCAAACTTGGAGTAAACCTTCATATTATGACAGAAACAAGTTAATAATTGCCCCCCAAAGGCTGGTGGTACGGGGACAGAACCAAAAAATAAAAACCAACAAATAAGCCAAAGTGTCAAGCCATCTGAACCCACTCTTCCACAGACATCAGAAGTGGCTATGGGATGAAGGAGCAACATGGGACTTCCAACAGTGTCAAATCATTACAGGTTTAGGTCCTAACAGGCAAATTCAACTCTGCAAAGTCTCTCCTTAAGTTCCTTTCTTACCAACAGGATTTTTATTGGGAACTTACCCTCTGCATACACCTTTAAAGATGACTGACTTAATGTGGGCATCAGATTATAACTTGTGCTAATGGGATCCTCCCGAAACACAGGTTTAGTTACTGCTATGAACAGATGCCTTTGTGAAATCAATTACTGCAGACAGAATACAGCTATACTTTAGGAATTTACCCAGATCTCTCAACTGTTAATTTGTTGTTACCCGCCCCACTACTCTCCTTTCAGCATCACTCTTCCCCTTCCCTCTTTTTTTTTTTTTTTTCCGTTTTCTTTCTCCTAACAGATGCATCAGGACTTCTTCAGATCATAACTCATGCAGAGGACACACAGATGCTCTCAGGGCCCACAGAGCAGCAAAGGTCCATGAATATAGCTGTAATATAGTGGGATAACGACAATTTGAACGTCTTACAAATCACATTTTGCTGGTGCACAGCAAAGGTAGAGGGACACAGGTTGCACCACAGACTGGTTACAACATAGGGATGAGGATTTTCTCTACAGTTTCTTGAGTGCTTCTAAAGCTTAACTCACTGTTGAACAAGTTCTACAAGACTGTCCTAGAGATGAAACAGAGGAGGCAAGTATTACATAGCTGCCATCTCTCAGGCACCTTCACAGCCATAAGGCACGTATAGAAAAGTTTGTAAACACTGTCAACCTTATAAGCAACATTTTCTTAGATGGAAAGCAGAGTATGCACGTTGAATCACAACAGCCAGAGATTCTGGTAAGGTTAGCGTTTCCCACCTTTACTGATCAGTCTCGGACTGTGTCTTCACAACAAACACTGAGCAATTTCAGGAAGGTTGCTCACTTCTTTCTGTTTTCCTATGGTTCATACCCATCATAACTAAGCAGCACATGTTGCGTGGGAGAAGAATCAAAAGAAAACCCTTCCTTACAAAATGTACAATACTGTCAGCTGTAAATCCAAGAAAGGCTCTATTACCATCCAATCACAGACAGCATCTGTATGTCCTCTGCATGTGTTAGGATCTGAAGAAGCCCTGGTGCGTCTGCTAAAAAAAAACAAAAAAAAAAAGGAAGAGCTGCTCTCCAACATCCTACTGAATATGCACAAACCTGAAACAACAGGTCAAGCCACACCTGACAGAAAAAAAGAAAAAAAACAACCAAAACAACTCAGTTACACCTAGAAGATAAGCAATATATCAAATTATTACCCCTCAGCACAATTAGATGGCATCTTCAGAAACCACAAGTATGAATACCAGTTCCTTGCTGTTAGCAATCCAATGTCCTGCACTCACACAGGAGTACAAGTGCATTAGGGACTGTAGTGATGAGACAAGGGGTAATGGCTTCAAAATTTTTCCCCTTAAAAAGGGAAGTTTAGACTAGACATAAGGAAGAAGTTCTTTACTGTGAGGGTAGTGAGTCTCTGGAATGGGCTGCCCAGGGAGGTTGTGAATGCTCCATCCCTGGCGGTGTTTAAGGCCAGGCTGGACAAAGCCTTGGGTGACATGGCGTAGTGTGAGGTGTCCCTGCTCATGGCAGGGGGAGTTGGAACTAGATGATCTTAAGGTCCTTTCCAACCCTAATTATTCTATGATTCTATCTCCTTTCACTGGCAAAACCCCAAGACTCACTCCTATTCTACTCTTTGTTCTTTAATTCTCTTTCTAAAGAATTATCTGCATACACAGTTTACTTCTTAGAATACTCCAAGTCTCTTATCAAACATTTTGCCGTGCTGGTTTAATGTTTTTCCTGAGTAGTTAATCTTTTGATACAGGCAAAAAGAGTATTCAGGTACTTTTCTGATAACACTTAAATACATCCGAATTTTAAAATCATGCCAGTTACAAAAACAAATCAACGACTGCCATACATTTGCAAGGGAACAAAACAACCGACTTCATACAAACATAAAATGGTTTGGGTTGGGTCTAGCTCCAACACTCCTGCCATGGATAGGGACACCTTCCCTCAGATAGGCTGCTCAAAGCCCAGTCCAACCCAGCCTTGAAACACTGCTAGGGATAGGGAAACAAAACATGTAATCAGTAAATGCTGCCACATTTCAGTCTTTCTAGACTTCAAAAATAGCAATATAATATGAGACATGGGGCACAAAGTACATAGAAGCAGTATCTGGGAGGAGTATCAGCACCACATTTCTTACGTTTTACACGTGTTGTTGTCTTCCAAGGTAACAAACTGGAGGAACAACTCACTACTGCTGCACTGACTCTGGCTTTGATATACAGTGTTTTACAGGGAAACCTCAGCCGTTGTTCTCCAACCTATAGGAAGAAAATAACTACCTTTAACAAAGGCTCTTTCATATGAAAAGCAAGTTCTGACACACAAACCACACAGCTTAATGCCTCATGCTCTTCTGATGCCTTCTCGTCGGTTCAACCCTGACTGAACACCGTTTCGGGGAAAGAACCCGGAAGCACGTCCTTGAAATAAGGTAACAGTTCTCTCCGACTCCGAGAGCGCACTTGCCCGCTGCCACACAGCTCAGCGCGCGAAGGCAGGCTGTGCTCAGAATCCAGCACAGAAGACAGGCAGGTGCCCCTGCTGCACCCGTGCTGCTGTTGTTCGGACAGCCGGGAGCCAGCACCGAAGCGCACACAGGGGACGGGGCGCGGCGCCCTGGGCTCGATTCCTCCCCGCAACTGCCTTGCTGCGAGCTGCAGCCGCTTTCCGCCCCCCTCCCCCCAGTCCTCCTCGCGGCCTACTCTCTCTCCCTCCCTCCCGCCTGCCATCACTGCGCCCGGCCCGAGCACCGACCGGCTCGGCGCCGCGCCGCCCGTCACGCAGAGAGAGGCGGGAGGCCGGCCAGCACGCTGTGCCCGCAGCCCCCAACCGCCCGCTAGGTCGCGGCGGCGGTAGGGCCCCGAGGGGCGGCGCTCCCCGAGGGCTGCTCACCTCTGCCGGCTGCCGCCGGGCCGGGCACACGGGGCTGCTGCCGCTTACGGAGCTTGTGCCATCAGCCGGGACCAGCTGCTGCTGCCGCGCACCCCCGTGACGATTGCTCTCAGCGACCAGTCCTGCCCGCGGTGAGCCGGCTGATGGGGGGGGCCGAAGGGGAGGGGGCCTGTACGCCACGTGCTCCAACCGCCCCGGGGGGCGGAGACTCGCCGCCTGACGTCACGGCTTCCCCGTGGGGAGCCACGTGCTCCAGGCCCTCCAGGAGGTGACACCGAGGGGCGGGGCCCGGGGGGCCTCTGCGAGCCGCGTAGTGGAGGAACTATCCGCTGCGCAGAGCCGGGCGGTTGTGGCCGTGCTTCCCTGGTGTGTCTGTGGTCGTTCCGGACAGCGGCAACGGCGGTCTGAGCGTGCCGAGGGACCGTATAGGGATAGCCATGCACCTCTAATCCTGTGTTCAGTTCTGGGCCCCTCACTACACGAGAGACATTGAGGTGCTGGAGGGGGTCCAGAGAAGAGCAACAGAGCTGGTGAAGTGTGTGGAGCACAAGTGTGATGAGGGACGGCTGAGGGACCTGGGAGGGTTTAGTCTGGAGAAGTCTCAAGGGGGACCTTATTGATCTCTGCAATTACCTGACAGGAGGCTGTGGTGAGGTGGGGTCCGTCTCTTCTCTCCAGTAACAAGGAATAGGACAAGAGGTAACTGCCTCAAGCTGCGCCAGGGGAGGTTTGATCGGATATTAGGAAAAAATTATTTACAGAGAAGATGGTCAGGCATTGGAACAGACTGCCCAGGGAATGGTGGAGTCACCGTCCATGGAAGCGTTCACAAATTGCGTAGCCGAGGCCCTTGCTGATACGGTTTAGGGGTGGACTTGGCAGTCCCAGGTTAATGGTTGGATTTGACCTTGATTCTATGATTCCATGTGGTGTCGGCACAGCGTTTGGCGCCGAGCAGGGTGTGCGGGGCTCAGTGCATCAGGTCTGTGCCATCTGGGGTACGAGACACTGAACAAGCGCGCTGCCGCTCCGCATGACGTCAGGGCTGCACCCATTCCCAGTCGCGCCGCTCGGCCTAGCAACCACTCCCGGAAAGCCTCCTTCCGAGGGGAGGGCCTTTGTCATGACGTGCCGCCCGGCCGCTGAACGGGTGCCTCTTCGCGGCTGCCGCTTCCTCAGAGCCCCTCCGGCTCCTCCCGCCACCGGGAGCCCGCTGTGCAGCCACCGAACCAGCCCGCACGCACCGCCGGCCCGCTGGGGGGCGCTGTGCCTCCTGACGCGGCTGCCCGAAGCGGTGCTGGTCGGGAGTCGTAGTGCCGCTCGGCACGTGTGAGGGGAGCGGAGTGGCGTGGGCCGGTGTTGCCGCAATGCCCAAGGTGCGAGCGGGGAAGCGGCTGCGGAAGGAGCGCGGGGAGGGCGGTGCCTCCGGTGAGTGCGTGCCGGGGCGATCGGCGGTGCCGCGGGGACTGAGGCCATGGCCAGGGCTGCCACCTGGCGCGGCCTGCGCTCAGCCATGCTGGGGTGAGGCCTCGGTGCTGCGGGCGGGCCCGGGGCAGTGCGGTGTGAGCCGGGAGAAGCGCCGGTGCCTATGGCGGAGCTGAGCTGAGGCGCTATTCGCCGCGCTCGCAGCGGGTGTGACTCCGCTCTCTGCCCTAGGCATTCTCTTCAACACCGGCGCCGGACAGCACATCCTGAAGAACCCCCTCGTGGTCAACAGCATCATCGAGAAGGTGGCTGGCGGGGCAGGAGGCGGCGCGGCCGGGAGCGCGGCTGGGTGCTGGGGGAGTGCCGGGCACAGCCGGCCGAGCGTTCGCTGGAGGAGCGTGTCATGAGCTCTGCCCGCTTCCCTTACTTTGGCCTTCCCGGGCTGTGGAGACACCTACGTTCTGTGCTGCAGTTACTGCCTTTCCATGCCACTTTCTTTCGATGTGCTGGTTATTTCTATTTTTCTATACTTTGCTAAAGATCTCTCATAAATTAGAATTGGGACACTCTTGTTCTCACCTTTTCCCTCTTGTCACTCTCTTAATTATGTTCACGCGCCTCTGCTAGGTTATTGTAGCTTTTTAGCAAGCTATATGTACCTTTCATCTTGAAATTAAAGCTCGCTTGAAATCAGTCCTAGAAAACCAACTGCAGTGCCATTTGTTCTTAGGCTGCCCTACGACGTACAGATGTCATTCTGGAAGTGGGCCCAGGAACTGGTAACCTGACAGTAAAGATGTTAGAGAAAGTTAAAAAAGTAAGTGTGAATTCACCACATGCACACCTTCCCAAGCTCCAACCACATTGTGGCTTAGACTGTGGCAAGCAGAAGGGTCTTCACGTGCTTGATTAAAATAAGTAGAATTACTCTATGAATATTCTTCTTAACCTTTGCATAATTTTAATTTTTTTTTTGTTGTTTGTGTAAATCTTGTGTGGTTTTATCAAACTACATTGCTGTTACCCATGTATGTGATAAGGCATGCATGTTTTTGGAGAAGGAGTAAGGTGCATAGACTAATAGAATTATTTAAACCTCTACCATTAGATACAGAGGGTTTTTACCATTGAAATTTTAATCCCAGCCAGGAGGAGCTGTACAAAGTTGCAATGACATACTTTGTTTTCAGGTTATTGCTTGTGAAATTGACCCTAGACTTGTTGGTGAACTGCAGAAGAGAGTGCAGGGCACGTGAGTATCAAAAGTGGAAATACCAAGCTCTTAAAGCAGTGGAGCTGCATTGGCAAAAACTTTGGCAACATGCTTCTTTGAGGATAACCATACCATATTTTCCCCAGGAGTCTGGCAAACAAACTAGAAATCAGGGTTGGAGATGTCTTGAAAACAGATTTGCCGTTCTTTGATGCATGCGTGGCTAATTTGCCCTACCAGGTATGGCTAAACAATGTGGCAAAACTTTTTTCTTTCTAAATGATAATTGCCCAGAAATTATACTAACACCATTACTCTTTCTTCAGATTTCTTCACCTTTTGTTTTCAAGTTGCTGCTTCATAGACCTTTTTTCAGGTATGTGGAAGAACAGAGCTCTGTATTACCTGCTAGAATATAAAATAGCTTTAAAAATATTCTCAAATGAAAATTTTTTTGTTCCTAAAGTATCAGTTTGATGGATCGGGACCACACGCAAGATTTTCTATAATATGAAACCTGCCAATGGCTGGAAATTAGTTTATGGCAATGTATTGAGGGGAAAACATAGTCTTGACGTCAGTGAGTGTCCAGCTGACAAAATCGGAGTTGGACCTCTTGACACTAGTAATATAACTAAGTGTTATTCCAGGGATAAGTAGGGTATTGTAGCACTTCAGATATCTTCTTACCTGAGAAAGGAGGAGTGGAAAAGGTAGGATCAAAGCTAAGACACTTCTGTTGCATGGTCCGAAAAAGTAACTGCTCAGGTAGTTTTGTGTTGTTCAATGCACATGAGTTCTTGAATTCTTTCCCTGGAGCGTTGACATTAGTGACATTACTGGTCAGGTTTTGGAGTGTGGGGAGTTTGGATTTGGAGGACTCAGCATAGAATTATTCAAAATGATTAGTTACAGTCAGGCACAGAACTCTTGAGACTAACCTCCTCTTTGATCCTGATGCACTTAGCAGTATACAAAATCAAATTCTGTCTTTAAGGAGATGCAGATGTCTTTAAAATGTTCTTTGGGGGGGGTGGTTTTGGATTTTTTTTAACGCAATCTGCACTAATTAAGACATCTTGTTTTTGGCAAACTTGTATTGTTTTGAAGTACTGAAGCAAATACTGTACTTTCCAAGTGTGTTAGTTTGGTTTTGATCTAGAAGTTGATTACTTAGAATTCATTTTCTCATTTCTGTTATTCTCAGGTGTGCAATACTTATGTTTCAAAGGGAATTTGCACTCCGTTTGGTTGCCAAACCAGGAACTAAACTATACTGCAGACTCTCTATTAATACTCAGTTACTAGCTCGAGTGGATCATCTGATGAAGGTACATCATTCTGCATTAGGTAACAGAGCTACCAAAGACAGAAGAATGTTTCTAGGTATGTGAGGATTTGCTGCTTATTCATACAGCTGCCTGACTTCTCCTAACAGGTTGGAAAGAACAATTTCAGGCCTCCTCCCAAAGTGGAATCCAGTGTTGTCAGAATAGAGCCAAAGAACCCACCACCACCTGTCAACTTTCAGGTGAGCATGTACAACATTGTAGCATACTAGTGGTAATACTTAATTTCACTTTTCACTTACTACTCAGTTCCATGTGCTGTTTTTACTGTTAAGTACCAGCTACTCACTGGCATTTACATAATTCCAAAATACTTACTCCTCTGTTGATCAGGCTTGCGTTAGGACGTTACCTGAATGTGCCACCATCAGTTCTGTTCCAGCTTTATTTACACTATTTCTGACAAGACTGAGGTGCCATCTCCATGTCAGTTGGAGAGTTGCTAGTAATAATGCCCCTTTCGTGGTGGTTTCTACCTCCCAGAGGCCTTTCAGGCTGATGACTTTATTGGTTACGATCACAGGGGTATCTATGAGAAGGCTTATCTTCAGATGAGTGTGTACAGGATAGTATTCTTAAAATTACACTGAATGCTCCATGCCTGGAAGTGTTCAAGACCAGGTTGGACAGGGCATGAGCAACCTGGTCTAGTGTCCCTAGGTGTCCCTGCCCGTAGCAGGGAGGTTGGAGCTAGATGATCTTAAGATCCTTTACAACCCAAACCATTCTGTGATTCTAAGAAAATGCTTTGATGCTTTTTTTTTGGGACCATTTTAGTCTTCCCCAAGGTTAGTCATATAGTCTTCAATTACATTTCTTTTCAGCACATGAGAACAATTTCAAGAACAGTTTTCAACAACAGTTCAAAGGTTTTTGTGGGTGAAGAATTTTGTCCTCTATTTCTGTTGCTTTGTCCAAATCAGGACTGGTTTTGTATTGTTTAGAAAGATATTTTCCAGGAAAATTTTAATGTGTTCAATATTCTTGTTCTGAAGTTGTCAGTAGTGACTTGTCTTTTTTTGTAGCAGCTGCATGTTCCTCTCTGTAAATTCTGACATTTTTAATTTCAGGAGTGGGATGGTCTGGTAAGAATAGCCTTTGTTAGGAAAAACAAGACACTCTCCGCAGCATTTAAGTAAGTAACTTTGGCCCACAAGGATTCTGGAGAGGGACTCCTTATTAGGAATTGTAGTGATAGGACAAGGGGTAGTGGGTTCAAACTTAAACAGGGGAAGTTCAGGTTAGATATAAGGAAGAAGTTCTTTACTGTGAGGGTGGTGAGGCACTGGAATAGGTTTCCCAAAGAAGTGGTAAATGCTCCACCCCTGGCAGGGTTCAACGGCAGGTTGGTCTAGTGTGAGGCGTCCCTGCCCATGGCAGGGCAGTTGGAACTGAATGGTGCTTTCCAAACCACACCATGCTATGATTCTGTGATTCTGTAACTTCTGTTAAAGGACATCTTTTCAAAGTTTGAAAGCCCGTTCAGCTAACCATTTCTCTGGTGCAAATGCATAGCACTGTTACCTGCATGCCAGCACAGTCTGTGATAAACCATGATGGAGGATTTATGCTGAGGTCACAAGTGTTTTCTTTAGTAAAAAAACTAGGCAGCTGTTCAAAAAGAACAGCTCTATGTAGACGGTACAGTTTTTGATAGTAAAGATTAACAATGAATCAAGTCAAGAAACCTAGTTAAAGCTCAGTTTTTATTCTAAGTTTGCATTTCTTTCAGGTCAAGTGCTGTAGAGCAGTTACTGGATCATAATTACCGAATTCATTGTTCCTTACATAATACAGTAAGCTCCTTTCTAATATATCAAATTCTATTTCGGTGTATTGTGTCCTACATACTGACTTTTATAAGAGTAAAAAGTTACCATTGAAAAGCTGCTTTAGCGTGTTAAGGTTTTTCTGAGAGAGTTTGAGGGAGGAGAAACTTGACTTAAAGAAAAATCTAAAAGGGTCATTAAATCACTGTGAAAGAGCTGAAAGCTGAGTATGTTACTAATAGATTGGCTATACATATCTCAAGGACTTCTACTAATCTAGTAAGAATCTAATGAGAAAACTTTCTGTGTATACTTAGCAGTACTGTTGATTAATTTATAGTGAATGAGCTGGGGTATAAAAATTCAGATATAAGAATACAGAAGTCCAAACAAGAAAAAAAAAAAATATAGCTACTTGAAACAAGAACCATTCTAAAAGCAGGAAAAGAATAATTATTTAAATGATTATATATTTTCTGTGCTATGAATAGAAAATTAATTTATATCCTATTTTTCATTGACAGGAAATACCTGAAAACTTCAAAATTGCAGAGAAAATACAGGCAGTCCTAGAAAATACAGGTTACTCTGAAAAACGAGCCCGTTCAATGGATATAGATGATTTTATTAGGTATTCTTTTTTCCTTTATGCCTTCCTTTTAAGCTTCTTGAAATTCTGTGCCTGTGTAAGGACAGATTATTATTGGGTCACAGAGTAGTAGTACTAACTCTGTTTTCCTCTCGATACCAGACACTCCTTGCTTCCAGTCCTGAGTGTAAACACTTAAAACCCTATGTTTATTTTAGCTGCTGGTTACGTTGTTGAGAATCAAGTAGCCAAAGATCCCTATTTCAGGTGTTTGTGTACTAGAACCTTTAGCCGCCTCTGAAAATGGCTTTAATAATGGAATTTATTATTGTAATATCCCTGGAGACTTCCACAGCACTTCTCTGTGTTGAGGATTAGGCCGTAGTCTATAGCATAATTTTGAAATTAGTGTAATTAACTGCTATACTCTGCTCTTACATCTGGTCAGTTAATTTAAGTGGCAACATAAATCCTCTTTCACAGTGTGACTTACAGCTACCACTCTTTAAAGAAACATAGTAACTTGCTAGGAAGAAACATAGTAACTTGCTAGTAACTAGTTAGAATATAACTAACTGCACTGAAAATACACCTACATCTCAAAAATGGCGAATTTGCTAATAGCATCTAGTTTAAGGTTTTGTAGCAATTCTTTTTTCCAATTTATCAATGGCTGCTTTCATACTATTTTTATATATTATTCACCAGCCAGCGCCTCTTAGAAATGCTGTAAGCTGAAATATAAATTAGTGGAAATTGTAACATAAATCTTTCACTCTTTCAGCTTGCTACATGGCTTCAATGCAGAAGGCATCCATTTCTCATAGATTCTACTTGAAGAATGGAAGATCTTCTGTATTTTGTCACCGCAGACTTATCTAAACCAGAGTGGCTACAGTGTACATGCACATTCTGGTTCTTAAAACTTTACACGCAGTTTTATCACAGAGAGTAGGGAAGAAGCTGATGCTTTCTATTTTAAGAGAGAAATGCTTCACAGCTGAAGTGAGGTGCTGGAATCCCATATGACTGTATGTTTTAAAATATACCAAATAACATGGATGGATGCTGCCGTGATTGAAGTTTGTGTTCTCTGATCATGGACTTGACTTTGCCTCAGTAAATTCTTGCACAGTGCTCAACAGTACAACCCTAAGTCTAGCCTGGGCAACAAAAACAGTTGTAGTCATTCCATTTGTTTGGGATTTATATTTTTTGTGCGTTTTTTCAAAGTATATTTAAACACGTTAATTTGAAATGCCGGCCTCTTCCGTGTGTTCTCTGGTGTGTGCCCCTATTCCAGTTCTGTTAGCAATCAGCTTTTCTTTGAGAAATCCCAGTAACACTTTCTCAGGAACACGAGCATTTATCTTGCCAGCTCAGAATCAGTTACAAAAACACTACAGAGGTACCTGAAAGTACCAGTGTCATCTCCTTATGCCGTCTTTATTGCCCTCAAACCATGGCAGGAACCAGCAGAAAGCTACCAAAGGGCTCGTCTCATTAGCATAGACAGAAAGATTATTTTTGCCAACTGTAAATTCAAGCAGCTATTTTTATAAGAAAAATACTTCACCCATCAAGGGAGGGAAAGGTTTTAGCACAGATCAAAGCTTTCAGTGAGTCTTACAGGAATGCATGCCTATGTCCTGACAGAAAGACTTAGAAGTGCCTTAATAGCGTTTGGATTACTATGTATTTATTATTAAGGACAAGGCAATTTTTTTAAGGAGTTTTGTATTAACTGTAGCAGCTCTCAAAAGAAAAATTCACTTTGGTCTGTCTTACAGGAGAAAGTAATTTTTCAGTCGGCAGCATCATGCAGAGGTGAAGGCACAGCTCCATGTATTAGCTACCATAAGTAATTTTTTCATGTGTTGTATACTTCTTTCAGTACAACCACAGTAAGTGGAGAAGAGGCAAATTGGCAAAAACTCTCAAAGATGCAGTGTCATTTTATACACATCCAGTGTCAATTCTTACAAGTCATTGATTCAGAAGCACGTACAGAAACACGCACTTGAATCTACAAGCATCCCAAGAAGTTTTGAAAAACCAAATTGCTCATTTATTTTTTAATTTAATGATTCTAGTGCTGGTTCACTGCATAGAGAACCAACGTATGGGTGAGGTAAGTAGCAACAGCGATACATTCAGACTAATACAGAAGGAGCAAGTGCTGGAGATCTGTGTCACTTTGTAGGAAGCTGCTGAAATGTTACTGCATCTGTCATTCCTGTCTGCTTTGGCACCTGCTGTAATCCACAGCCTGGTTGTGGCTCTAGGCTTGCACAGAGGAGCGGTAGGGAATCTGCTATTTCTGATACAGAGTGTCTTGATCATTAGAGGCATTTTAGAAAGTAAGCTGCTGGAGAAGTCTTTAAAGCAGCTCTCTGGTGTTGTACGATAACCTGTACTGTACTATCACCTGCTACCAAAACCTGCTGCTTTCTGTTTCACTGGTTTTTCTTACAACTGTGAAGGAGGACGTTCCTAAATGCTCAGAAAGACACATGATGTTTCTTTTAAGACCTGCCACAAAACTTTCAGGACAGCATTCTGGGCAACTTCTTCATGTATGACAAGTCTGTACAAAGAGCTGGCTCTTGAAGTAAATACTCATTCTGAAATCAGAGGCCTTCTGTTCAAAAGTAACACTGATGCGGTTACAAAGCACAACAGAATTTCCACAGAAGTAAACTCTCACATGTAACTCATTTAATAGCTTAATTTTATTAAACACATTATGTAAAATCTACATTGTTTCAGTTCATGTTTACACACAGATTTTTTTTTATTTTTTTTTTTTTATTTTTTTTAACCATGATGCGACAAGAGCTTCCCATAGCCTAGCATTCTATGGGAGATAGAAACATTAAACACTACAAGAATTCCTGGCTTATTAACAATCTTTTCAATTGCCTTCCTTTTATCCCCTGCCAGGACTGGCACAAACAAACAGGCTTATATTCCAAAAGTATTTTTTAAACAATTCCAAGGGAAAGTCTGCTAATACAAACTCCTGGGAACTGGGAGAACTCCTAGAGAGGTCTACAAGTCTTCATTTGACAAGAAGTTCTTACATGAAAGGTCAGCTTTTTTTGGATACTGACTTGCAAAAATAACTCGAGTGCCACCACCTAAGAAGTGCTGATACACATGGCGCCATTGGTAAGAATTCAGATACTTGATTTCTATTAGCGCCAGGTTAAGAGGTATTGTGCAAAATCCCCAAAAGATGCAAGTTCAACCCACTTTTCAGCTGCTGGCACTGTACAAAGGGAAAAATAGGTATTAGCTACATTTATTCTTAAAGCAACAGCTACTCAAACTACCTGCAAACTACGGTTAATGAACATGTAACTCTGTCATGCATTAAAAGCCAAATTTTAACAGTATGTGGAAGGCCAATATGTATGCATTTAGCTGGATCCCTGAACTTTGACAGTTATCCATATGCAGAGGTCAGATCGTACCTTTACTCTGACAACATTACCACATACCATAACACATACTGTATATGTGCATTATCCAAAGATACAACTCTCCTTAGTACTTAAACATCACCCTTTATTATACACCAACTAATTTTTATTTTTGTGGTTTTTTTGATCCTTTTTTTTTTTGTTGGGTTTTTTTTTTTTAATTACAGAATGAAATGTTAGAATTATATTGCCATTATTTATGGTACTCAAATAAATCTAAATTCCATATTTTTACAAGGAGGATGGAATGTCCAGCTGTTTGTACACTCTTAACAGCTATTGCAGTTCCTGTTCAAATGATATGGCACATCCTGTGAAATGAATCTAGCCACCAAAAAAAGTCTCAAAACACATTAAAAATGCACACACACTGGAAATAATCTATATTGACAAATAAGGAATGTTATCATTAAGGCTGTGCTTCAGGAAGATGATGCTGAGGGTTAAGTAGCCTTCACCAAGGCACAGAATGGGAAGAAGTAAAGCACAGCTCTCTGCAGAGGAGTAGTTACATACAACCACTAGTGAGGTGTGCATGCATGCAAACACAAAACTGCACAGCCAGTCTTTGTAACAAAACTGAGCATAGCCAAAAGGAAACTGCAGCTTTTTAATGGCCACAGCTTTACTTCATTGTTAAAAAATGGCAAATATTCCCAAACCAAAACCTCACCATTTGAGTAAGTGAAATATTTTAAACAAAGTGCTTCACAGATGTGAACCCTGCATGGTTGTGCTGTCTGGTCTAGAAGCATTTTGTAGACATCATAGGAGCATTTCACACAAAACTTAAAAATGTCATTCGGGTGAATAAGAAACAGGACATTTCCACAGACATTTCTAATGTTTTTACACTTTCAAGTAGTTGAGTTCTTACAGCCACTGGGTTTTGTAACAAATGTGTGCTACAGCAGTACGGGTTCATGGACTCCTTTAGCAGCAAAGGACTGTTTCAAAGGGCACGTGGTTTTTTCAGGCTGATCTGTTTACTGGCCTGCTCCTCCTCTTGCAGAGCTGCCCGGAAAGATTTCACTTTGTCTTTAATGAAAGAGAGAGAATAAATACTGATGTGTCCCTGCTCAACACAGATCTCAAAATTAAGCCCTGATGCTGCACATCCCAGCCCCAGTGCACAACAAAGAACATCCCTCCACAAAAATAGCTGGCACTACAAACTACAAAAGGATCAAGACAAGCTTAAATTCAATACTCACCATACAAACAAGTTGCAGAGCAACTCAGTCCCTTCTTAGATGCTACCCCCTGTCTCTAGGCAGGGGGGATCTGGAAACTGCATAATTGCATTCCCAGCATGTAACCTGTTCACATTTAAATTCTGCTTCTAACTCAGAGTATAAGGAGATGCATACCACATAAATCCTTTTCCTTCTCAGCAGCTTCTAAACTATCCTTAGAGGCATACAAAATTGTAATAAGTGTACAATCAGTCATTTCTGTACATTCTAAAACCCAGCAGGGTAAATTCTACTCCCCCATTTTTCTATGAATGTGAAAAGCATATGTGATCAGATTCTGGAAGTTATTCGCTATAAATAGGGAAATGCATCTTTCATTAGTTTCATCATAACACTAATGGGAAAAACCTAGGAAAATTAGTGTGGCATATTTTCATACTTCTATTTCAGAGTAAAAACTATGGTTTTATCTTATACGGAGTTTCCTAACACAGATCAAAACCAGCCCAACGTCATCCCTCAACCCCCAACCCTACCCTTAAACTTCTACCAGTATAGCCTGACTGCTGGAGACCAGTTACAGAAACTAAACTGAAAGATCCATCTCCATAAGGTGTACCAACCCAACAAACTGATTTTAGAAGACAAGTGGAAGAGTCAATTTAGGGCTCTAAGAAGTATGTGCAGTTTGTTTTTCAACAGAGACTGACAAAATGCAGACAGAAAGGCTTCTGAAGTAAGCTAACCACCAAGCCACTGAGAGCTCAATGCTGTTCTTACGCAGTCTTCAAAATGAGAGCTTTGTCCCCATTACACTACAGAAAACAACAGAGCAGGAAATACTTCTTCCTTACTGCATCACCTTTTTCATACAGTCCATTTGGACTTTTTTTTTCTTTCCATTACTGTTTTGGGGCAAAGGGAAAAAAAAGGGGGGAAAGGGACAGGCAAAAGTTACAGGACTGAGTTTATACTTCCTGGAGGTAAAGCATAGATTTTTTCGTTAAAACTAGGATGAGCACTTACGCAAACATGTTCTTAGGCAGAACAATAAATGCTCCTTCTACAAGACTGTGGAGACAGTGTTCTCACAGGAGGATGGATAATTGGTACATAAACTCTGAATAATCCTGAAAGATACAGCAAGGCTGTGAGAGGCCCGAGGAAGCTTCAGCAAGCAAGGTAAGAAGCTGTAATTCACTGAGTTATGAGAACTGTGGACTGTTGGCAAGCTTTGAGGTCAAGTTCTCACACCTGTGCTTAACCAATTGTGTGTTAGTGGCTAAGGGTCTTCAAGATGTATCCAATCATAATATGCCAAATCACTGCAAGTGCCTGTAAGAAATGGTATATAAGGAGTTAAAGCTTTGTAATAAATTGGCATTCGCTGATCACATTGATCCTTCCTGCATTGTCCGTGACTTCCGCGTCGACAAATGGCGCCCGAACAGGGACCCTCAGATCGGTAACTCATGGCGTGCAAGTTTGAAGGTCCGATCAAAGAAGAGGGGTCGGAGAGCCGGCCGAAATTCGGCACTGCCCCGGCGCTGTGAAGTCAGATGTCTGCAAACAGTGGGATCTCTCCCTGATCAGGTGAGCAGCTGGGGAGGAGAAGGGGCACTTGCTATCCAAAGATGAACAGGCAGTGATGGGCTACTCCAACATACTCTAAGGGAGGACTGCAACGTGATAGTGCCACCTCACAGAGGCTGCTAAAGTGGACCTGTGATCGTGGCTTTATCCCCACCGTGCAAGCCACCTTTGAGGTTTCTGAATGGGAACATATAGGTCAGGCGCTGTGGGATGAGATTAGTAAAGGGACAAAGGAAGCCCTGAAGTATTCGTTATGGAGATTGATAATTGAGACTTTAAAGGAGATGAAATCAGAACGGGCAGCGGTGGCATCGTTTTCCTGGATGCTGCTCCTTCGCAAAGTCAGTCAGAGGTAGAGAAGAGTGCTACGTCTATGGTCTTTGCCCCCCCCCCCCATTGTGCCCGGCACAGCATCACAGAAGCCTCCTCGGCATAAGGGGGAAGATAAAGTGAAACGTTGCTTGCGCCCGAAAGTACAGGCAGAGAGTACAAACGCGGTCACCTCCGACCCAGAGGAAGGAGACCCCGAATCGGAATTGGAACCAGACCCAGAGTCTCTGGCAGAACCGGACTTGTACCCTCCCCTTCCTGACCCCGACTCAGACTCAGCCGGTTCAGACAGTTCGGCTCATCGGCAGATGCAAACCAGCCTCAGTGATGGTCAACTGCAAGAGCTGCTGAAGAAATTAGAGTATTGGAGACAAAAGAAACCCCCGAACCCTCTGCCCCACCCTCCTACAATCCAGTAGTAAAGAAAGGGGAGTGGGAGGGGGGTGTTGGGCACGGGGTAGGGGATTACGGTAATAACCCTGCTAGACGTTGGCATGGGATGATCAAAGATGCAACTGTTATGGGGGAATTTTCGGCTATGGGTCCCTCAGCATTCCTGGTGTTTAACACCCCACAGGCGGGAAAGGAGTGGGAGGCGCTGGATTTAAAGGTAGTAAACGCAACCGGTAACATCCTACGGGTTAAAATCATCGTATACTTGGGCAATTACTGCACATATTTTTTCTGCATATATCTTAGCACCATATGATATCTGTATGTGATAGCTCGATTGTTGCTTACTCCCCACCTTCAGATATGGTTTAAAGGGGGCACAGCAGAGGAAAAGGCTGGATACATGGCTACTGCCTTCGCTGCTGCTGTTAAACCCCTTCTACAATAAGGTTAGGGCGATTGTGGGGGTACTAAAGGTATGAGATGTTATAATTGTGGACGGACAGGACATTTCAAAAAGAAACAGTGTACTGTAAAGAAAATTAGTCCAGCAACCTCTCCCCCCCACAGTGGGGTTACTGGTTTTGCAGATAAATGTATTAGATGTGACAAATTCGGACACAAGACAATTGAATGTTGCTGCTTTGCAACCTAGCCTGCCTACCCTTCAATGATTACCTCAGGGTTGGGATTTAATAATTGATTTAAAAGACTGTTTTTTCACAATTCCTCTACACCCAAGCGATTGTGAAAGATTTGCT